GCAGTTTAGCTAATATTATCCACATAGTGATATATTCCAATCGATTGTTGTATTATGCTTTTCGGCTGTTTTTAAGCCGTGGAAAATTGAAAGATAAAAATTCATTTATCGTTCGTGAGTTTAGTACGCGTGCATGGTAAAAGGTCATATTATTTCTTATGTGAAACAATTTATCGCGCACTCATTATCGCGAAAGTAACACTAAAAGGTAATTACCCTTGGTCGTGCTTGCGAAGCAACAGCCTACGACAACAAAGAATCCTACGCCGACAGCAGCTCCGTCGAAATAATTTCCATTCGCGAAGCGCTTGACCATAAAAAAAGACATACACTCGACAGGCACACACATATAGGTAGGTACGCTCGCACACGGCACACATAGGTAGAGAGTGGAAAAACGAGCCCGAGTGTCAGACGGCACGACGATTAAAAAGTACAGTGTACGTGCGTGGCCCGGTGCTCGTCGTGACGTACCTCGCGCGCGCATCAGCATGCAAGAGCAGCAGTAGCAGCTCTGCATAGCAGCAGTGAGAGTCGGTCCGGGGGCCATAACTCAGGCAATCGGAAGACGACAGTTGTGGTTAAATGCCCTCTGTGTTTCTATGTATGGGCTTTGAACGATTGCCGCGTGCTGCTGCATATATATAGCCACAAGCTCGCACGCACACGAGCTACCTCCACACCAGCAGCGTACTCGCTCTCGCGCGCAATTCGTCGAGCTTACCATACCCACTGCTGCTACTACTCTTTCTCGTTGGCGCCTAGCTCTTTCTCTCTCTCGTGCTAAAGCTCTGCACATATATACAGTTCGAGAACTGCTGCCGCCGCTGCTGCTGCTACTACCAACGTCGCTTCTTGGTTATTTAATTAAAACCGGATTATACAGAAAGTTCCCTTTTACACCAACTCCCCCACCCTGCGCGCCGCGAGTAGAACCACTGAGTGTACGTGAGTTTGCAGTTGCTCCCGTTGACTACGTGTGGATACCAAGTAGTCTCTTTGCTCTTTTTTATTTGCCCGCCTTGTGCTTCTCCAGTCACTTATGCAATTAGTTTGTCATTTGAGTCACGATTCACGTCGATGCTCCTATACAGACGCGCAGCTCTTTCATTATATCAATCGCGATCAACGTCAACTGCTAAACGGCCCGATGACGACGCTCGAGCACGCAGCCAGGCCGAAGGAGAAAAAAGCAGCGACGACGGCGGCGGCAACAGTAGCAGACAGGTTGCGTATTTTCGGCTGGCTCACGTTCGAGTCGTCGATAAGCATCGCCGCGCGACCTGACTAATTGCTTCATTTCGACAGAAAAATCCTGCCAGCCAGCCAGCAGCAGCAGCCGGCCCGGGACATAAATACATCGCGGCAGCTAATTGCCCGCACCTTTTTTTTCTTCTTTTCTCTCGATCGCGTACCTCCTCCTCCTCCTCCTCCTCCTGCACTTTCTTTCGAGGCCCATTGGAATCCGCGCGAATATTTCCCGTATATTTATTATCATAACTGCAGCTCGAGCTCTCCCCTGCTCTCGCCCGTCTTTCGATTTCATTACGTATATATATAGGCGTATACTGCACACACTCGTACGCACGCACGCACGCGCGCGCATAAAGGCAAACAATAATAGACGAAGAATAAGCGAAGCGTAATCAGGGTCGGGAAATTAATATAACGGAGCCGATCATAATCGCGTACAAAGGGCAGAAAGTGTCGGTAGGCCTGCTTGTGCATGTACTATGTACATGCGTGTATGTGTATGTAACAGCAGCAGCGTCCGTACATATCCCAGCTGCAGACGATGCCCGGTTTTGCGCGCGGGTAAGGCGACGCGCCGCAATACGTACCTACTACACGTATACTGGAGTTGCACACGTTAGTATTGCTCTATTAAATCAAAGAGGTATTCAGATGTCGAGCGATGCGCCTGGAATCCAAATTCGCAGCAGAACAATCGTGTGCAGCGATGCGCGCACATGTCTGCCGCTTCTGCTTCTCCATCCATTACGTTCGCGCAATGCCCGCATGTGTGTATGTACTTTGGTCGGTCGTGCTCGTATCGTATCGATTATATACAAAAATATTTTGTCTTATTTATCCCAGGCTTCGAAATTAAACCGCTGCCTTTTGCGAGGAATATTACGAGCTGCGAGAGATAAGCATCCTCGCGTATCTGCTCCAATACTTGCATTAATACAAAAATAAGTCGCCGAGATCTCGCGGTTATTCATTATTTCCGCAATAATAAGAATAGCTTGTTTAAGTCCGCTGCTGCTGCGGCTGTCTATAAACAACTTGCCGCGCATACGCTCGCCACTACCATTAAATTTAACTCTTAGATATACACCTTCGGCATACCGCGTCGTCGTCGTCGTCGCCGCAGCCGCTACTACGTATTACACCCGGAATAATACAACGGACGACACGCATATAATGAAGAAATCGCCTACTGCAGCAGCACAGGCCTCCGCATAAGAAGATAAGAGTCCGCACATTGTCGCTATCTGCTTTTAGCGTGGGCTGAGAGAGAAAATAAAGCACGGAAGCTTATCGTTGCTTTATATCTTCGAGCGACTCTCTCTCTCTCTCTCTTTTGCTCTGCTCTATACAGATTCTTAAGTATCTAAAGATATCTCACCGCCACTATTTTTTTTTTGTGCGGGGCAGGGCTTTAATTAAAAAAAGGTGTGTGTGTATGCGTGTGGGATCTCGCTCTCTCCTTGCGGAAAAAGAGAGAGTCCTTAGAACGAGGTATAAATGATAGGGGCCGTTATAGTCCAACAGTGCGAGAACTATGAAAGATAACAAAAAAAGAGGCAGGGTCGAGGACAAGATAAAGCGATCGTCTCTCTCGTGGCTTAACCACCTGCTTCGTCTTTCTCCGCGACGTAGCGACGACGACTTTTCTTTTCCTTTTTTTAATTGCGCATGTATAAAGCTCGCGTCTAAGCGTAAATGAACACTCTGGCTTAGATCTTATTATTAGGAAATTACTTATTATATCCTTGCGGCAGCCGTAGATTATCGTTGTTATATGTATATCCCCGAGAGTGGAGCAGAGCGAAAGAATATTATGATATACCAAATCGGAGTGTGAATTAAGCGCACAATCTTTGAAACTTTTTTTTCTCCTCCTTCTTTACTACTACTTTCTTTACTCTCTCTTTCAAATATCTCGAGAATCGCAAGTTGTCGAAACGCGCTTATTATTACGACAGCGAGTATTTCGAATTGAAAGTCAAAAGGGCATAATGGCCTAGTAGTACTATCGAGAAGAAGAAGACTCGGCTGGGGGGATCACATAAATTTGCGAAGGCACTTAATTGAAAGGGGAAAGAAAAGGAACAGTTTGCTTGCCGATCTCTCTTCGCCCCAGCCTCGTCTTCTATAAGTCTTGAATATAAGCAGTAGTAGCAGTAGCAGCAGTAGCAGCCCGAGAGGACAAAGAAAACCTCCTGCTCACTCAGTGCAGGGCAGCTTGCAATCTCGCTATGGGTATACTGTGCCGCGCGCTCGCATATGTTAAACGTCCCTGGGAATGTCGCTCCCATCGAGCTATTTCGACCAATAAACGATAGCTCGGGGAAGCTCGCATGCAAACATACGTACGTACATACGAGTGTAATATTTTCCCTATCGAATTAGAATCAATCGTTTTTCTTTTTTCGTTTATTTGAATCATCGAAAAATTTCACCGCGTGCGCAGGACAAGACCAAACGAGTTTACAGTCCATTTGTAAAGTGGCAAAGTGTAAAATGCGCACCGGCATGCATAAAAGTGGTTACAATATGTATGCTACTGCTGCATCTGCTGGAAATCCACCAACAGCGCTCGCGAGCAAGGGCAAAAATATATCCAAAACTGTAAAAGCTCACTAAAAGCCCCATGCAAAGCAAGTTTTAACGAACATTAATTCGGATGTACAGGTGACTCGGTGTGGCAGGATAGCTGCTGTGCACTGTGTATATATGCTATAACTCTGTTTCTCTACAAAAGCATCAACATCAATGATTGCTGATGCTGTTATCGATTGCGGAATTGCTGTTTTCACGTGTCGTTAAAATTTCACGCGCTGTTTATAACGACCTTTTCCCAAGCCCTAGCAGCAGCAGCAGCAGCGTCATTTTCCATGCATGACGCGTGCCGATGAGCTACTTAACGAACTCGAAAGGCCTCTGATCGAAGCTCGTATGGGTGCGCATATGAAAAAAAAAAACAACGAATTCTTGATGCCAAAGAGTTGAAAAACATAAACTGTCTCTCGGGCCTCGTAACTTATAGGAACACCCCCATGAACAGGGATAGCTGCGCGCTGAAAAGCTTAACAGGAAAATAGTCGCGGTCGCGTAAAAATAGAGACACGCGAGCGCGCGATTATATGTTTTTCGTAATACACGTTACCGTTTCCGTTCCATCCGCTATCACTACCACGTATAGGCTGAATCCAATAGGCATATCTCATCGCGTAGGAAAACAAACCTATCGTTGCGCGGAAAAAAAGAAAAACAACATCGTAATAATTCTTGTACTCGATCCAGGCGGCCATATGACCTTGCACCCTTCTCTCTCGACAAATCAGAAAGATACACGAGCGCGCGTACAACATAGCCTCGCGGAGCTATGATGGAATTGTTTATGGTTGCGCGTGATGTTTATGCGCGCGCGCGAAAATTACTGCGGCTGTAAAGTGCAATGCTCGCCGATGCATCCCAGGGCTTTTTAGTGCTCGGCTTACACGGCCATATGACAATGTTATTATAAGCCCGCGTATGGCCTATCCCAGCGATGTTTTGATGTTATATACGATTTCGGAGTGCGCGCGCGAGCGAGCGAGCGGCCGTGTCATCGTAACTAGATATGTCGGGCTCTCGCTCGCGATGCTTCCGCGTAAATTGAAAAATCGCTGGAATTTACGGCGGGCGTTCATTTTTGTTTCACGAATCCGTGAAATAGATCGAGAGTTTTTTTTCTCTCTAACAGATGCCCTTCGTTTTTGTCATTGCAGGAAAGAAAAAGTTCTCAGCCGACCCGACCTGCTGCCCCGTATGCGGTATCACGGTGAGGCCGCAGGAGCTCGAGCAGCACTTCCTCCAGGAGCTGGACCGTCTGTACAAACTGTCCTCGGTGTCGCAGAGGCCACGGCCCAGGTCGACGATGCCGCCCCAGCCGCCGGAGCACGGACAGATACTTCACACGCCATCGGCCGCGGACGGCACGCCCTTCGGCAGGTGGGAAACCTACAAGCGGATAAAAGCCAACAGACAGGCGCGCATTCGAATAAAGAATCGCAAGAGGAAAGCCGACGAGCCGGCGTGCCCGGTGTGCCAGGAGCGACTGTCCGGCACCACGGAGGAGCTCAATCACCACGTCGAGCGATGTCTGCAGAAGCAAAACGGTGGCGGCCCCAATCCAGCCGCTCGCCATCCGATAGACGAGGAGGAAGTCGACGTCGAGGGCGATACCGAGACGTTCGAAGAGTACGAATGGGCAGGACAGCGACGAGTTCGTGCCAGTTCTATGCTTATGGGAGGATTCGCAGGTGAGTCGTTTGTTCTTACCTCTTCGTGCAAACGATTGTAAAAACTTGATTCATTCAACCTTGCGGATTAATTAGTAATCGTGCGAAAATATTTTTTTAATCTCGGCTAATACGCTTGTTTATTATTTGCTTGTGTAAGATCTGCGAGTTTCACAGCGATTCTATTATGACGCGCTCTTTCGTAAATCCAATCTTCTTTTATTAAGCCGACACGCTCGGCCGTTAGATTTTTATGACTTTTTGTATAATCGAGTGGCGTATGAAAAAAAAGAATGTAAAAAAATGAACACATCGTTATGATTTGCGCAAACAGCGACAGGTCTTGCGACATCGTCGTCGAGCAATCGGGCCGGACCAAACGGGGTGAGAAACGACGAGGAGGACGTGGACCTGGTGGTAGACGGCGACGACCAAGCGCAATTCGGTCCGTCGCAGTACACCGAGGCCGACGTAGTGACGCCCAGATACGAGGGCTCGGCGCGCGAGCAACGGGAGCGAGAGGCGCTCCGCGAAGCCGTTATCTCGCCCAACGGCACGGTTCAACAAAGCGGCCAGAGCTCGAATCAGCAACAAACGACGGTGGTCGAGGTGAAAACCGAGCCGTCCTCGGCCAGCCCGAGCTCGACGTCGCAGACGCAAGCCGAGACTGGCTCACCGAGCGACGAGCAGAAGGCTTCGTCCTCGACTTCGCCGCACAGTAGCGGAGTCATCGATGCCAAGTGCGAGCCTGAGGCGCCGGTCGTCGAGGCTCTTCGTAGTCGAATACGAGAACTCGAGAACGAGATGCGTGGACAGGGTTTGAAGTGTCTCATCTGCATGGTCAGTATATCAGCTATACCACTATACGACTCGTAATCAAAAAAGTAACGCGCCTTCACGTTTTTTTCTTCTTTTTTGTTCGACCTTCATTACAGGAGCAATACAAAAAGCCAGTTACATCGGTCTGCTGTTGGCACGTTCACTGCGAGCAATGCTGGCTGCATACTCTGGTAAGTTATATTAATAGCGCTATAAGATTGCCCAATGCTAACGCACAAAAATCACCCGTTCACAGGGAGCGAAGAAGCTGTGCCCTCAGTGCAATATGATAACGTCACCGTCGGATCTGCGTCGTATCTACATGTGAGCAAGCGGTTAAGTCGCTGCGAAGACGAAACAGAAGCTTCCATCGCATTGATAACTCACGATAGCTTGTATATTTGTAAATTATTTCATTAGATCCAATGATTCAGATTCTCTCTGCTACATTGAAGATATTATATAAATATTATAAATATATTGAATTATACTTTCGACCCGATTCAGATGGGTCGATAGCGCCCCGTCAATTACTTTCTCTACCCGTCGTAGAATGGCGCATTTATCCCCCTCCCCCCGTCCTTACTTCCGACGTACTATGCATATGTAGCAGAATTAACTCCTCTATTAATAGGGAGATATTTGCGTCTCAATACGTGTAAAACAGGTAAACGATATGAACGCTCTCTAAGCACTATTATAAAAGTTGCACTCACTCGAAATCCGTGTCTTTGTATATTATTCACTCGTTGACGGTTTCTTCAATTTTTTTCAGCTTCGTGCACTTGAACGCGTGAAAATTGCTTATGAACGCGAATTCATAGTTACATATTTTTTTACTATACATTTTTATAACAAGACGTACTTGGACGTTCTTGGCATAATTTTGTATTTTTACTTTCACTCGCTACGAGTACGAAGAAATTACGTACGAAAATGAAGATTAAGAAAACTCATATGACCGCGTATGATATAGATAGTTAAATTGTTCTTCTTGTAAGTATATAGAAAAATTATCAATTGTTTACAAATTTACGATGAATAGTTTTAATGGAAGCTATTTAGTATAACTATTGGACGAAAATTAATGTCTCTCCAAATTAGCTCTCAAATTTTATATTATCAATTTTGTAAATATTTTAAGATTATATTTTAAAAATAAAAACAAAAATTTTATTGTATTATATTTTTAAGAAAAGTTTTATTTATCGAATCTTGCAGAAAAAACAAATAATTTGAATTTTCAACAAATTCTGTCAATTTGGTGTATACCTTTGCACTTGATTCAATATTATAAATAAACTGTAAATAACGACATGCTCGAGCTGATATTAGCTCGCTTCTAAAGTCTAAATTGTCACCAATGTTGTATTTAAAAATAAAACGACCATCGTGAAAATCCGTCGAGTCGATTTATTTAATTTCCATTTCAAATTTTAGGCACAAAATCTTCGGAGGCATGAATTCTCAGGTAAGCTATTCATGAAAATGAAACATTTTTCAGCTTTTCAAGAGGGGTGTAGTTAAAATATTTCGCGTTAGCCAGAGACATAAAAGAAGCCAAACAATGAGTTCGGTGCCACGCTGGACAATGGCTTACCACATAATATATACACCGGAGTGAGAAAATTTCGGCGCGCTTAATTTCCCACGAGCTGTCCCTCCTTATCTTTTATGAATACTTTCCTAATTAAAGCTACAAATGCGACTTTAATCTACAAAATGGAGAATCTCGGCTCACGAGCAACAGCGCTAGCAATGGCATCGAGTAGCATTTTCGAGTAAGTCGTTACCAGCGCTGGTAAAACAACAAAAACTTTCACGCCATCATCTCTCGCTGTATATAAAGTATATACGGAAGTAGGCGTGTGCTCCACAGTGTCTTTTCGAGAAAATGACGGAGTAGAGGATGGGGAAACATAAATGCAATGAGAGAAAGACAGAGCAAGAAAATGGCGTTGGAAAATCCACGGGGATTCGAGAGAAAGGTGCGAGTTTACGAGGGGAAGGGAAAAGCGAACGCAGGTGTACAACATCGAAGTGAGAGAGAGAGAGATAGAGTGCAAGGAAGGAGGAGTGTATGTAAGCGCAAGCAGTGGGGGAGTCGCCGCGTAGCCCGCGCGGGGTAGGTCAAGAAAAGCTCCGCCTCTCGCGGAAAACGCGAATCCCCGAGGTGGCATGTATTTCCGTGAAAAGGAATAAAGTTGCGATCGCTACTGCACGTTGCTAGGCAAAATCTATTTTACTCCTAGATCCACAGCTAACCGCGAAGAAAATGAGCTGTATAAGAAGTGGCTGTGTGCAGAATCCAAATGCTACATGTATACGGCTCGAAAGAAAGAGATCCGATGCAAATGTGATACTTGAATACATAAAAGCACCAGCCGTGTATTTTCTTCGCTCTTTCTGAGAAGCTCTAAAGTATACGTAAATTTTTCCAAGAGATGACGTTATGAAGGTTCGAGGCTCATATTATTTCGGATTCGTTGAAAAACTCGATGCACCGAGTGCTAATGCCATTAGAAAAAAGCCTATAGAGAGTACGAAAACGTTACGTACACTTTCAAGAAAATGTTCAAGTTACCTCGACTATCAAAATTAGCTTTAGGAAAAAGGGGTCTGCGAAGGGATCGCGCTGTAGTTATCTTTGTAATGTGAAATCTAATTTTTCCTCGAAAGCTATATTTTTATTTTTGAATGGATCTATCTTGAATGGTAAAATTAGAAAATTTCATATGTGATGTTGTAATTTATAGAATAGTAAAAAATTCCGACACCCTTGATGAATAAAAAATTAGCTTCTCTAGATCACACTACTCTGTACAAAGTGATGTTAGAATCAAGGTCATTTTTTCAAAAAGGGTCGGTAAAATATTAGTCTACAACACTTAATATTTGTCATATTTTATGCAGTTAAGCGTTGAAACGTAATAACGCTAACTCGATTGCACCATGACATGACATATTTTCAACGTTTTCCTGCACGAAACAAATTGACTGTTAAATCCCTCTCGAAAAGAGACAGGCAGAATCGCAGGAATCGGAAAGGTCGCTTTTTTTGCCGAGACAGCAATCGAGGTGAAATTTCCCGGAGACTAGCTCTGATGCAGTACCTCTATACTGGCGGCGGTAGCTCCCTCTTGGCACACATGCCCGTATATAGAGCAAGAGAGGGCGGGCGCTACAAATTTTGCACCCTCTCCTCTTTTCTCCTGGGCGAGTTGGAAAGTGAGGCTCGATTCTTGGGCAACGCCTCTCGCCCTATCCGGACTCTTGCTCGTCCTCCTCTCTGTGCGACGCACTCGCGGTTTTGCCCTCACCCTCCTCCTCCTCCTCCTCTTCTTGTTCGTACTCGCGAGTAAGTAAGTGGCAATATCAAGGTGCCGCTTTTTCCTCTGACCTTCCTGTATTTGCTACATCTACCGACTAGATGTAGGTACTTCCGCGCCGCTAACGGTATACTCCCTCCGCTCTTTCTCTTTCTTTCTCTCTCTCTCTCTCTCTTACTCTCAACTTCTCCTTTCTTCGCTGATGGATGCGCACTACACACACTTTCTTCATGGATAAAACGATGAATAAAATTCCATAGGCTGCTGCTACACATCAGAGAAAAAGAATACTCGACTTTATGTTAGAGCAGATTACTGATGCAGTTCGCGCTTTACAAATAGTGAAGCGCCTGACCTCTCGAGTTTGCGCGCCGATTACACTTAGTCGTAACGTTATACCTTCAGAAATAGATAATTCGAGTGCGAGGAAAATTGCAACGATTAGTTATTGCGCAGTTCTTGAGCTCGCACTGTACTATGTTTATTTTAAAACGTAAAATAGCTATACTTGTACTTTTTTTACCAAGGAAACGTCTTAAAAGTTTACGGTAGAAACGATCAACTCAAATTTCAGGTGGTAAAATGATTAACAAAATGCTTAATAAATATAATAGCTTTATTTCTATTTATTATAATATACCATAAACAGTATGCAATAAATTCATATCTCTATGTATAATATATGCATGATAAACAATAAAATATGAATGTAATAATAATGATAATGACAATAATAGTAGTGATAACAATCATAATCATAGTGATGATTAATGGTAAGAATGTAATACATTCCTTAAAGAAACTCTAATAATAATGCAGTTTTGACTCAGTTATTTAGCATGCCATTCGATTTAGCTTACACAATACAGAAATAAGGGTGAGAGATGAGTATGTACGCTAAATTGTATTTGGGTTTACTTTTTCATTTCAAAAAATTCCTCTTTACTTTCAAGTTCTCACTTAAAGATAAGGCACTTTCGATGATATACACTTTTTCTTTGAACATTAATCGATAACACGATTATCGAATGTTCTATCGTACATCCGAGTAGATAGTCGAAATCGTGTCTCGATTGACATTTGTAATATTGGGGAGTAAAAATGGCTCACATCATAACGACACATTATTTTAAGTATACGACGATGTTCGTAAATAATTATAAATAACAGCTATATAACATCAATGACAATCATAATGACGATAACGCAACAATGAAAGAAAAAAAGTTTGGCACTTCATGCAGTGCTGTCAGTTTTCTCTTATTACAGTTTATGAATGCGTTTAATATTGCACATGTTTTTTTGAGAATGGACACGATTCTGCATCGCAATTTTTTTAGACGTCGACTTTGAAGGGTGAGCCGGGAATGTGATCGTCACCCCATTTGACGATGACGATATATTCGCCTCGTTCACGCACCAAATAGCTCACGTTGTAATTATTGCGACCCATATGTTTCACATACACTTCCTCGGAGGGACCTTTGGGTCCGTGAACTCCAACGAAAAGAATATTATTTCCTAATAATAAAAATTTGACAGTTAATCTTAGTAGAAAAACTTAGTCTTTGTGTTTTAGATGACTGAACTTACCAGCATCGCCACCATTGACGGTAAATTGATTCTGTTTGCCGAGATAGGCCTTCTTCAAACCCATACCTTTACTTGTAACTTTTCTAGCGTCGGATTTAAAACGCGGCAACACTGGGCCTGCGTTTTTGTTGTTCTTCGAGAACTTTTGCACCGTCTCAACAGTGATTGAACTCGTTTCTTGTGCTCCTCTTTCGGCCAAATCCGCACCTAAGCAACAAAGAAAAGTATATAAATTATCGACCGTCGGTAATATCGGATATGTGAACTTAGTCGGTAGTACGAATTACATACCGGTGGCAGTGACTTTGAAGGGTGAACCGACAATGTGGTAGCCGTTGTACTTGATACTGATGTAGTAGTCGCCAGGCACCAAGGGTGTATATCTGACTTTGTAGCCTTCCTCGACCTCGGTGCAATCCATAGCTACTTTGCTGGGTCCGTCAACGGTGACGCCAAGGGCCCCAGCTCCGGCATTACAAGTGTCGATAATGAAATCGGTTTTCTGGCCAGTTTTGACAGTGCTGAGGCCATTGCCGTGCACATGAATGGCAGCGGGATCGGCATCGACCGTACCGACCTTCACGCGGTAAGGACTTCCGTTGATGTGGACACCGTTGAATTTCAAATGGATGTTGTGAATGCCGTTTTCGCGTGCCATGAAGCGTACCGAGTACTCCTCCGAGTCGATCGACTGGATGAAACAATCGTCCTCGATACCGCTCGGCGAAACTATCTGTGATGAATTAAATTTTATAAATAAGAGTAATTTGTGTACATTGCAGTATTAAGCCAGAGTGTATGGACGTGACAAAGTCGCGAAAGGCAATCTTGGAGCAGCTTCTAAGAGCTCGGTGTTAAATTTATCTCGGCGCTCGAGAGCTTGCCAATGATTAAGATGCATCCGTTGCGTTGTTTACAAAAAAACGAAACGCGCTACTCTGGTAGAAGAGCGGCGCTCTGCTTTATAAGCTTACCTTGCCGTCGAGCTCGCCTTTGGCTCCGTTCTTGCGCACGAGGAAGGTGTAGGGCTTGTCGGGCTGTACGCCACTGTCCGGGAACTGTGCCACCTCGAGCTTGTGCGCGTCGCCCACTGCCGGCGCCACGTACAGCTTGAACGGCGAGTCGGGTATGTGTTGGTCGTTGAACTTAATGCCCACCCTGTATTCGCCTGTGGCAGAATCAAACGTGGCGATAAATGAAGTACAAATGTAAGCGGCAGCAGTAGTGGCAGCATAATGTTATATATCGGAGGAGAGGCTTTGCGGGTCGCGGCCGACTGGCACGACTAATGAGCGACGTCTAACGAATCATTTATCTTCATCGCGCGGCTCTACATATATGTATGCAGCTGCAGTACACATTTGCTTCAAAGCACGGAATTTCAAGGAGATTTTTCAACGCGTTTTCCAAAATTTTCACTCAATATTTTTCTATAAGTCTGCGTGAAAGTCTTTGCTTGGTTTAAAAAATATGTTCGGTAATTTTATTATTAGCTTTGGCACCTTCTTAAAAATATTTGTTTTTCACTATCTCTGGATATCATCTTTGAAGTAGTCATTTGATAAAAGCATTTATTTTTACCAAAGCCATCATAGTTTATCAACAATTTTTTCTGTCAAATAATGCAATAATAACTATATCGCTGGTTAGTATAATTTTATTATAGAGAAATTGAGAGTCTAATCTGGCCTCCGCCTCCGTACTCTCTTTCGCGACATTTACGCATCGCAATCCCAAATATAACCAGCTCAACAAAAATATGACACGGCGCTGCTCTTTACCACCTCCACCAACGACTCCGCGCATCTGCCGTACTGGGCTACCGTTGGCCAAATACATCTTTCTACGCGTATGCGTGGACGAAATATTTCTAGAACTAATTCGTAGGATCGTTCAATGTATTTAACTTTTTTTTTTTTTTGCTCACCTGGTTCGCTGACGACATAGCTCACGTAGCAGCTGCCGTCCTTACGATCCTTGAAGTCGATGTCGGCCTTGCAGGGCCCCTCGACGGAGATGGCCAGGTTTCCAGCGCCAGCTTCGCGCGTCCAAACGTTGAATTCGCAGGGCTGACCCTGTTCTCCGCGCTCGAGACCCGAGCCACCCGCGTGTACCCTGTGGGCACCACCATCCCTCAGAGGACCGACGGTGAATTGGAAAGGCGAGCCGGGGATGTGCATGTCCTTGTAGCGCACCGAAACTATATGTACACCGAGTTCCTGCAGAAAAAAAACGTAACGTTTTGTACACGCGTAAATCAGTTAACAAGTGTCTCGCTGCCGGTGGAGCGCAATTTGTCTGGCTGTAAATCAAGAGCTAGTTTTACTGTCGCGTCGCGCTGGTACTTCGCGCATTGTCTTGGCACTTAAAAGCTGTCGGCGCGCGGTCTAGCGTAAGAAAACAACTAACGCGTTATTTTTTAACACCTAAGTACCTTGGGTACGAATCCGACCGCGTAAAGAGTGTCTTCAATTTCCTTGATCTCGGCATCCTCGGTCACGTTGCCCGGCGACGTTACCGTGGCCGATAGGTTGAACGACGTGAGTCCGGGTAGTTTGAACGTCAGTTTGCAGTTACTGCCGACTTCGGTTACAGGAACTGTAACAAAAAACTCGCCGATTATTCAAGTAACTGTCGATGTAACTAGCGATACAATCGACCGTTTCAAAAATTACCAGCTTCGCGACGCTTCTGGATCTTCTCGCGTTGACGATTGCTGCCTTCGCCGCTCACTTTGACGGTGAAAGGAGAGCCATCAACGTGATGATCGGCGAACTTGAGATTCATAATATAGTATCCGGGCTCGGTGGGTTTGTACGAGATGACGAGAGTACCGTCGTCGTTATCCTTAGCTTGAATCTCGGCCTTGCTCGGGCCCTCCATGGACAAGGATAGACCTCCGAATCCGGCGTTGCGCGTGTCAATGGTGAAAGTATTGTCCTGGTGAGTTTTACCCTCCTTGAGATTCGGGCCATGAATCTTGACTTTTTTCGCGTCGCCAACCTCGCGGTCTTTGACGTCGATTTTGAAGGGCGAGTTGGCGATGTGCTTTCCCATTTTTTTAACTGCCACCTCGTGCGAGCCGCACTCGCGAGGAGTGAACGACACGCAGATATTGCCGCTTGGCATTTTTTTGAGGAAGCACGGCTCCTCCAGGCCGCTGGGGGCTACGATCGAGGCGTTCAGCGAACGTATGTCCGCGTCGCTCACCTTACCTGGCAGCTGAACCTCCGACGAGGAGCCAACCGATATTTGATTGCGTTTGCGACCCTCACCTATATTACAAACGATAATGATAGCTTTTCCGTGTTTTTTCCGTATGTTTAAAATTTTATATGTCATATATAATATCATATATAATATATTGTATACATATCTATATGTATTGAAAAAAAGAATCAGCAGTAAAACGCATTTGGGTTAATTTATCATCTGTGATCGTCCATTCGTTCGTTTTACAACAGTACGTAAAAGTCGTTCTGAGCGAACTGATACAGATCATTGATGATAATTTATGAAGCGCAACACAAGTTAGTGGGATTTAAATGAGTTATGTAAAAAAAGCTTTACCAAGAAAAACTTTTTTTAACTTTACGCTCTAGTGTAATCAACTTCATCAACCTACCTAAAGTATTCGTTCTTACATTTAATGTTCTCATTCGAAAGTTCCGCATAAAGAAATAAAAAAAACTTTTTTCAAAAAAAAACACATTTTATTTAGTGAATTAATCAATTTTTGATACACGATTAAAATTTTTTTTACTCGCATTTATATCATAAACTGAGTACAATATACACTTTGAAAGCAAATATATAGTAATGTAACATAACATATAACATATATTCTAGTTGTTAATACATGATAAATATATTTCTCAAATATATAATAACTCTTTGTATGTTGCGGTTGTGTTGATTTGACTAGATCGTAAACGATACAACCTTTTGGATAATAATTTTTTTTTTAAACGATGGTACCGGGGTTCACACTTTTGTTTTCCTAATTTGACGACGCTGTGAAAAAATAACAAGACATCGATATTGTAGTTGTTGCGAGAATTTCTAAGCGCGATTTTGATGGAAATTCCAAGAACAACGTCAACATCATACTCAGGATGCTCCGAGTAATGCATCAGAATCTTTGAGAAATTGATTCGCGAAATTCGACTCCATGGGTTTTCTTGAACGAAAGCTTTCACGAAGCAATTCTCATACAGAGTCCAAACATTCCCCGAAGCAAACCGAGCCTACGCGATGAAAAAAATTCAACTGTCAAACTTACCAGTGATCTTAGCGTTGTAGGGGCTACCCTTGATATGCTTGTCGCCGAATTTAACCGAGACCTTGTACTCTCCTGGTGCGGTGGGCAGGTACGAGACCGCGACGGTGCCGTCCTTGTTGTCGTGGCAGGCTATCTCGGCCTTGCTCGGGCCCTCGACAGCCATCGACAGGCCACCGGCGCCGGCACCCTTGGTCGAGATCACGAAGTTGGCGGGCTCGCCGCAAACTCCATAGATCAGACCCGGGCCGTAGGCCGTCACGTAGCCGCTCGCCAACGAGTCGACGTGGAACTTGAAGGGCGAGCCTGAAATCGAGTGGCGCATGATGAATCAACCGATTACAACTTCGATCGAGATAGCCGCGCGCACGAAAATACACCCGTTGCCATTAATATTTCAATGAGTTACTATAATGCGCGCTCACTGCTACGTTGCGCGGGATAATTTCATAAATAATCTGATTTATTAGAGGCGCGAGCTCATCGAGGCTCTTATTTTCCGCGTAGTACACGTGTATTTATACGGAATAGCTTGGCGGTACGCGGCCGCTTGCAGGGGTGCGGACGTGCTGACTTATAAATGTCGAGTACGGGACGACGCTCGGCGCATCGCGTACATCTGCGATTCATTAAAAGTCCGTTAACGGTCTATTTGCGAATTACAAGCGCTCGGAGCTCTCTCGAAATTTTACTGATTATTCAAAGCTATATACCGTATACAAATGATTGTCTCTTATTCTTTTTCCGCTATTTTTTTACTTGCTATGATACGTCAAACGAATTGACTTACCTTGTACGTGTTCACCGTTGTACTTGACGAAGACCTCGTGGAGGCCTTCTTCTTTCGGATCGTACTTGATGGATACGGTGCCATCGTGATTGTCTTCGATCACGGGCTTGTCGATATTGCCACTGGGCATCTTTACTTCAGCTGTAAACGAGAAGTGGAAAAAATAAAGTTTAATTCAAAGGAAGGTATTTTTAAAACTGTTGAATGAATCTGGTGAAAAAAATAGATCTACATCGTAAACAAGGAACGAAGGTACTTTTGACCTTGCACTAATAAAAGCGAAACTGGTCGTTTTTTCGCAGTCGAGGTTTTTTCTTCAACAAAAAAGGCTCAAGCTTGGTTTAAACAGGTGCCACGAGTAAGAATTATTTGATCATTTGATTCGGCGTCAACGTTTTGCGAGAGTAATATACGTGCGGGGGGCGCACGCGAGTATATCATATTTATAGAAATACATAATCTGTATACGCGCGCGCGCTTCAGATGTGCAGCGGGGGCATACATATTTGCAGATATATTCCAAAGTTTTCGTTGGCTAAAAATAATAGCAAAAACACACGACATTATTCGAAATAGTCCCTCTCTCTTTTGCGCGCGCGGTGCAAGGCGCAACGCACTGTTATATATACGTGCACCGCGTACCTTCGTACGAGCGAGCTTATACGTCGTTTGACACGAAACTTCAGAGAACTCGTTACACGCATTTTATTTCGGCTTAATTATGTTTTTAGCCGCGCATTTCTGCCGCGGCCCGTTACAATGATTAGCATGCGCGCGTGGAGAATCGGTCGACGTTAAAGTAGCCAGCGAAGATTCACTTCAAAGACTCGGCGGTCCTTACGCGCGAGCTTTGAGGGCTCTTTGCATTACGTAACTGGGTCAACCTTCCGCAAAAGTTTGATCGGTATAGGCAACAGGAAGGAAAAAAGTTGGAAACGGCAAACCTGAGCGTGTCTTTATCGTAAATATCGACTGAAAAATGAGCGGCTCAAAGTCGAGGCCGGAAGCAGGAGAGTCGGTCGTATCCTCGGCTGCTCGAGCAAAGGCTGGACACTCGATGAAGTAACAGACGGGGCCGCGCTCGGGCCTGTCGAGCTCGCTGTAGGTAATGGCTTTGTACTGCTCGCGAAAAAAAGTCGATAACTCGTGCCGATCGACGAGCGTCGAGGGTACGGACATTTCGCAGCGACTCGATAGCGATCACGAACTACACTCGCGCTCACACAGGCCGTATCACTCGTCAGTAACACAATGCGACACCGAGGATTGTCATGCGTGCAGTATTCAGGCGTCTTTGCGACAAGATATCATTCCGTGGTCGCATCAGAGCGCTGACTGAGAAGAGCCGTGTGTCGCGCTGATATTACGTGTGTCGTCGGTGGAGCCTCGCGGGCCGTTTCGCGCACGCACACACGCACCGACACACTCGCTGCTCTCTCTTTCTCGCTCTCTCTCACTCTCTCTCTCTCGGCGCGTTGACATTTTTTCCGGTCGCGCCGCGGCCTCTTTACCGCTGATGCATCGAACCGTGCCTCCGTAATGTTGAAATCTATGGGGTTTCCAAGCGCGAGAGGGAGTCAAGCTCATTTTCGTAACTTCGCTTCAACGAGATCTTTATATAAATATCAACGCCCGATGATGGCTTAATCTTTCGACGAATTGCACTTTTCTCTTCTTTTTTCTCGCGAGATTTTATTTTTGGGCCGCGGTATACGTCGCCTGTATGTGACCTTTTGAGGTTTGTCGAACATATAATATCTGCGCGTATGCAACACAACTATTATTAGTACATTGAGAATTCATAGATTCGTTTCGATAAAAGAAATCGTTGGTAAACTAAGGAAAAACAACGACCGAATAAACGATTTAAATCCATCTCGACGGCTGACTCAATTGAAACAGCTAAATATTCGACCCGATCTATTGTGTTTTGGTTTTCGAGAGAAAACGTAGCGCCAAAAACATATGTTTGTGCACTTTTGGCCGAAACTGAGTAGTGGCCGTGCTATACACTCAGCCAAAAAGGATTTTATTTTGATGTTTTCGCGCGTATCAAAGTCGATAAATAACGAGGGATTTTTTTTAAAAATTCAAAAACATGCGATCTTTCTACGCTTGTAAACTTTTTCGTATATCGGCACAGTTATATCAATGCGAGAGCCAAAATAAAAATTCAATCCGCATGAATCACGCTACTGTTGCTACTACTGTCGCTGTGCAGCTGACTCTCTGTGTACGATGAAACTGTAAACTCTGTGCAAGCTTTATGCTCTGCAATCGATACAACTAAAAACTGTCATCTAAATTTGATTGCATTATAAGAGCTTTTTGCCGTGGCAGGAATCACGGTGAATTTAACGCCGAGTGAAAATGCACAGGTCGTTTGCGAATGCGTTTCGCATGCTAGACACTGCAGTAAACCTCGTGCGGCGCGTGCACGGCAAAAAGAATGAAGGGTGAGCTGCGCAACTTGCAGAATGTGCTTAAATTTTCACTCACCCGAGTTGGAGTGTAAACATGTATGTGCTTGCGCCCGTTGGAAGCTTTCTGTTCGCAAAAGCTCCAAGCATGAATTATCAAGACAACTTGAATCACTCGCTATAATTCTGCGTAGCTCCGCGACCGCCGCGTGTCTCCGTGTAATTATTATAAGCTCAAAGATTAATTGAAAAACACAGGGCATCGAGGCTCGAGAATATTAAGTGTTTCACGCGGGCTAGTTTCGTTGAATAATCGCGTCATCGTCATAATCCCTTTACGCGCAAAATAAGCTCAACATTATCGTTTATGTATCCCGCGGCAGATTTTGGCATGCGTTCTCCTTAATACATTATAGCAAAAATTATTCAATATTATTACTTACAATATATCTTTCCACCGGCGACGTAAGGCACTGGTATGCCGTTCAATCGGATGCTGTTGAAATTGTTGCTCGATTGAGTAGAGCTCGAAGTCGAAGTCGAGGTCTCCTTTCTGGTAGTGCGCTTGGTAAAAGTCGAACTCGAGCTGCTATGCTGCTCGACAATGTGCTCTTCTTTTGTCCTTCTGCTACGGCGAGTTTTAGTGGTTTTTGTGCTAGTCTCCTTGTAATCTTCCGACGCCTAAAACAAGACAGAGCGCGTGTTTAGCGTTGCACAGCCTTTCTTCGAGCTTTTACGAGCGTCGTTTTATGTCCTGCGACCGAGGCTTTTCAAGTATAAAAGCAGGTGCATATTTACATTATGAAGCTTTCATCAATCGTAACGACACGATGACAAATTTGTCAAGCTTTGTCAGTTCGTCTGACACTCCTTTTTTGCAGTGAGTTTATCGAAGGGGGACATTTACGCGCAAAACTAGGCACGAAATGCCGTAAATATAAAGCCGTCGTAAATCTATTTTCTTCGCGCGCATCGAAGATTTGGGAGCGTTTCTCTTGCCCAAAAGATGGCCAAATTGTTCGAGTCCATAAACAACATTTATTATTACGTGAGACAGAAAAAAATCGGACAGCAAAGTTATGGAAAATTTCCGGGGCAAGCCCAGCGCAGATCAAAGAAGTGTTATTATTCATTCAAAAGTTGTAAGCTATTCTTCACTCAAATAATTAATTACAGCTACCGAGGAGTGCGAAGATGGGTACGGAAAAAGTAGAGAATAACTCGAAGCTCCGTCAAATTCACATCGGGCGCATAAATCACATCGCGGGCTGCTTATACAAATGTACTTTAACTCTCTTATAGCGCGCACGTACGCGAAAGGCTGCGAAAGCTCGGGAGTCGAGCTGCGACGTTCTAATGGGGTAAACCTCGAGAGCAACGTAGCGCATTTAATCGAAATCTACGTATCACTCTTACTCGAGAAAGTAAGCGAGAGAGGCTGGTCAGACGCCAGTAGCAACATATTACGTAAGCCTATGTGTCGCAAAATCCTGCACTTTGAGAGCTACACGAGGAGGGCTGTTCGTGTCGAGCGTCAGACACAATTTGTACTTATGCGTGACAGCTGCATGTTTCTTAGCTCGCTACGACACTGTTGTTCAGCAACTCGTGACGGAATCACTTTATATGTCAAACGATCGGGATGTCACGACGCTGATGCCGCGCACACTTACCGCACTTATTCACTCGTAGGGACAAAAATCGGCAAAATCGATCGTGTACGTATGAATCTGTGTTCAAATAACGCCACTTTGCGAATCTAGTGTATATAGTCGACGCACAATAACACTAGTGCATTGTGCGGCTGCACCAACAACTACTAAAAGACAATAATAGCGAGCTTGCGGCCGCGACTTGAATCTACAACGTCTCCATCTATCCATCGCGCTCTCTGAAGCCCGGATTCTTCTTTCCCCACCAATAGAGAGTGGCAACACCTAGACAGACTCAAGCCAAGCTCGAGTGCGTAAACACAATCGAACGCGTGTGCAGGACTACGTGCATTGTAGCTGGTAGCAACGAGAGCAGTCGCCACTACGGCGCATTGTGCCGAGCGCGTAAACACGAGTCACGCGCGCACGCGAAAACGTCGCACATACGGAATTTCTCGCTATTGCGAAATCTTGCCGCGAGAAATTGTTTGATTTTTTACTTTTTGTTCATCGAAAGCTCCGTAAAGCTCGCGTGTAGCGCGCGTGCGGTAAAAGAGCGCGGGAGCAAGTGCTTGCGCAAAGCTATTTTCGAGACTTTTAACTGCTCATGCGAATCGAGCTGTGGCCGTGCAGCTGTTACAACCGTACATCTTATTGAAAGGATTGCGGGTACATAGACTTGGTCGGGTAAAACTCATCCGCTTATTATTATTATTACCTTGACAATTTCGTAACTTTTATTTTTTCCGATTATTTGTTTTTTTCATCAATCGGAATTTCGATTGTTTACGTTTGCGAGGCTGATGTATCGAACGCGCGCCGAGTTTATTATAGCCCACCCGAACAAATAAACAAAATCTCGTTCATCGACGAGTTACCTTTTATTTTTTTCCTCTTTCCGAAAAACAAATGTGCAAAAAATCGAACGAAAGAAATTTAATACGAAACATGTGAGTCGGGTGGACGACGATATTATTAACTTGATCAAAATCACGAAGAGGTTGCGCTGCAGCAACATGTACTGAAAATATACACACGCGGCAACGAGCAAAATTCCCTAAAAAAGCAGCATGTTCCGAGCCAATAATAAATCATTCGATGCAACTCATCATGGGTAAAAATCTCGCCTAGGCCACACCGAGGCGCGTGCATGGCAGCCGCCACACAGCAGCAGCAGCAGCAGCAGCAGCAGCGCGTCGGACGTTGGATCGAGGTGTGCGACGTTTAATTTAACCAGAGAGACATTAATTCAGAGGCTTCGTCTCGTCGCGTCTTGTGCTCTCCCATCGTCGTCGTCGTCGTCGTCGTCCACCCACCGCTCGCTTACTCGCTCGCGCGCACTCGGCACTCAAAATAGTTCACGAAGGCGCCTCTCCCTCTTGCTCATTTTGTTGCCTCTGCCCGCAGTTTGTGTTTCACAACAACTGCGCTCGATAGTTTGAAAATAAATAAATAAGCTAAATGCTGTGTATAGATCGCGACGCATTGAGACAATTCGATTTAATTGATTTTTTTATGAAAAAACACACGGATCGTAGTTGTTAAAAAAATCTTAGTAGAGAAATATCAAGTCATCGTGGGCCTGCAAGTTCAACAGCGCGTCGGATAATTGTGCGAGCAAGCGTGTAGTCGGTCCGAACAGGCTCGAGAGTTTCTACTTGTCTGACCATTGACGAACGGCTACCACTGACGTGGCGCATAAATCAACGCTGCGTCAGCACGTTTACGATTCGAAATTACAAGCTAAAATTGTATAAGAAAAAAGAAATACTAATTTGTTGGATTGATATTTTTGCTTTGCAATTTGCGAGACTGACAGAGCTTTCGAACATTGTTTCGACGAATGTCAACGAATAAAAGTATCGAGTTACATCGTATATTTTTCAATCGTTAATGTCGCGGTTTAACATTCGCCGCGGACTTCCCGGAATCGTGTTTTCTTATTAGCCCAACATACGCGAAAGAAACAATGGAAAAGCATATATAAAATGAAAAAATGCGTTAAATTTTTCGCACTTATCGTGAAATGGCTCCCGCAAGTTTCGAGGCTATAGGCGCAAGCTCGACACAGCCAGCAATCGAACTCGCGACAATATTTCCCGGGGGCCGGGAAAATTTTAGCTCGTGCGCGCGCGCCCGCGGCTTATGACGCGAGACGAGTTGAAGCAGAATTTAGTGGAGTAGGAGGAGTGCACAAGTCACACTGCGTGCCACAGACATCATATTATGCGCGCGCTTCCGTTCATTCGTACGCGTCGTTCCATTTAAGCTCCATGTGCGCACCGATGCAAGCTCGCACACAAGCGCCCGATCGCTGCCACACCTTTATGACACATACATATTACAAGCACGAAGATGCGAGAAAACTTACTTGCTGGGTATGCGGCGAAAAAACCTGAGTAGCGGCCTAGCGTAGTGGCGTGACGCGATACCGACGAGTCTCTGGACGGAACTGTGTCGCGCGTGTTATTATACGAGAGCTTGCAGCGCTAGACTGGAGGGACGGGCCGAAAGACGCAGCTGATCCTGAACCACGACTTTACACGAGAGCTCGATTACAAGCTCGGAGCAAACTTGTGATCTTATAATACTACGCGAGCGGTCGCGTTGAGCATCTTGTGCTGGTCACGGCTCCCCACCCCGAGAGAGAGCGTCGTGCGATGCACATCACGCCTATGGCTACTATAATGCACGCATCTCGCAAGTCTGCAGCTATTATAGCGAGGCCTAACTGCGCGAGCCGAGTCTATGGGAATTCGTTTCTCCGCCCGGACTTGTGCAGGCACTTTTGTATTTATATCCGATAACGTTTATCGCATTTTTACGGCTGCAACCGATTTTATTTTGGGATCGGGCGAGAATTTATTTACGTAGATGCTTGCAAGCTCGCGTGGAGAGAACATTTATCATCGATGTTGTGGAACAAAACAAGTCAGAAACAAGCTTCGAGCATATCGATCGCCAATATCGAGTTTCCGAACTCTTTTAATTTAAAAACAACATGGTTTTTAATTCTTTTTTGTCGACGTGTAGAAATATGAGAAATTATTTCTCGCTGCATTTATTATCGCGGACGGGGTTTCGATGCGTGAAATTACTTACGTGTATTTTATTTTAGAAATTTTCATTATAAACGATAAATGCTTGGATACTCACTTTGAACGAAAACAGGCCATTTGGAACCGGCTGTCCACCGAACTTCAAGCTCATCGTGTAATCGCCGGGTTCTTCGACATTGTAGAAAATATCGACGGTGCCATCGGTATTCTCTTCGATCTCCACGTCGACGTTTTCGCTGTAAGGTAAAAGAAAACGAACAAAATGATCAAATTTTCTTGGAATAAGAAGAGCGCAGTTTAAATATGAATTATGCAGCGAGCAAACGTCGTATTTTTCTTCGCTCGTATATTTTTCCAAGGTAACCAGATCGACTCTGACGCTTTGTATACTTAATAAAACATTTGTCGGCGTTTCGCTCGACTGTGGGGTACTTTTCGGTAAGTTATCCAGTCGCTGCAAACGATATTTTTCAGTCATTTATATCCATTCACATTCGAATTTTAATAAAATTTCTTTTGAAACGCGCATTCGTGTATCGCGTTACAATTTATTGAACACGAAAAATGATGATTACGATGGTCTAAAAAAGGAACAATAATTATAAGAGGAATATTTTAAAAGCGCATCGGAACGCGAAAAATGTTCGTATGCCAAACACGATCAAAGATATGTGCGTAAATGAAAAACATTTAACGTGTAACAGCAAATTCAGGCAAAATTTATCATTCGAGCCGTTTTCCAAATTAAGTCGTCAATATCGAGTGTCGACGAAGTGTGGTACTTTGTCAAATGGCTCGCAGCGCAGTGAAACTGAGCAAAAGTGGCAACGGTTGAATGATACTTCGCTGACACGTAGCACTCGCCTTTTGCTACAATGTCACGCACGCCCGTCGTACTTTCTGTAACTCGGAGCAATTCGCAGACCGAAAATAGCCCTATATGCTTACTGCCTTTCCGGTTTACAGCACGCCCGCCTGGTCAATACGCCCTCGACTGAATTTTTACTGGTGTTTTGTATGTATTTACTATTTCGTTCGATGAATATTTGGTTGAAGTACAATTCGAAGAGAGGCGCGCCTCTAAGCACTTTGCCAAGCAACAAGAATTTAATTATCCGTCGAAATATTCATTCGTTTTATTGAAATGTTTACGCATATAATTACGTGATAGTACCCGTTTTGTCTTTTAGTTGCTTTTACAACTTGTACTATTTTATTTCTACAATGACGCAAATTCATAACTTATCGAGCATGCAATGGCATAGTTATCAAGTTGTTCAAAAACATAAGACATCGATGATTTTATTAGTATTTCGATTTGTTTATTCTGGTAAGATTTCAATGTAGTGTCTAAAAGATTTGAATAAACTAGAAATCGTCGAAGGTAAAGAATAAAGCAATCATAATCCTCGCAACTAAAATAGCGCGGAGTGCACTATTACCGACTTGGACTGGGTAGAAAACTGACTTACCTGTCATTGTTGGTGCTCTTGGTATTGCGAATTTTGCAGGTAACAGCGCCGCGTCCAGCATCTTCCGTATCGACAGTGATGCAGTAATCCTGCTTCTGTGCCAGAGTGCGTTGCACGCCCTCTTTGATCTTTACTGCGTCGGCCTTGCCGGTCGAGACAGCCTGAATGGTCACCGGACTGTTCGGCACATCCTTGCCGCCGTACTTGACGTTCACTTTGTAGCGGCCGCAGTCGTCGGGTACGTAGGTAGCTTTTACCTGGCCGTTACCGATGCTGCGGACATCGACTTTGCGTGGCTCGGCGTCGGGACCAAGGACTTGAACCTCCAGTGGAGCGATACCGGCCTTTGACAAGTCAATGTTAAAGTCAACCGGGAAGGATGCCGTAACTACCGGTTGCACACCAGGTCCCGACAAAACCACGTTGTTGGGATTGCACGTGGGTTTGGTCACTTGGCTCGGAGTTGCCTTGACAGGCACGCTGAATTGGTCCGTGGGAGGCTCGACCTTCATCTTGAAGGGACTTCCCTGGATGGGCTTGCCTCCGTAATTGACATCGACTTGTACAGTACTGCCGGTTTGCGATGGCATGTACGTGATTTCGTGAACTCCTTGTTTCACACGCCTGATTTCGGGTTTACCAACGGTGCCTCGGTCGGTCTTCACCTTCACGTCGAGCATAGCGTTGGACTCTTGGGTCGAGTCAACCGTAAAGGTCGCTGGCTCATCTTCGTGCACCATTTGCGGAGTGACTCCTGGGCCGTAGGCGAATGCCTTACTACCATTAGCGGGTGCTGGTGGCGCTTGCTAAAATTAACATGATCGGTATGTTCAATAATGGAATAGTAACTTTTAACATAGGCAGGCAGGCAGTGTGAAACAAACCTTCTCAACTACGGGCACTTTGAAGGGTGAGCCGGGGATGTTCTTATCGGCGAATTTGATAGCGACGTCGTAATTACCAACTTCAGTTGGTACGTACTCGACATCGCAAGAGCCATCGAAGTTATCGGTGCACTTGACCTTTGCTTCGCTCGGACCCTCGATGGCCAGGCCAAGACCTCCATTGCCGGCATCTGTAATATCACAGAGGATAATCAATGTTCATCGGTTTCTAAAAAAAATTCGGCACTCGTTTCTTCGACGTACCTCTGGTATTGACAGTAAACTTGTTGGTTTGGTTGACGATGCCGTGGTGCAGGCCAGGCCCGTAAGCACGGCACTTGGAAGCATCGGTGACGCGTTGCACGCTCACCGGGAAAGGCGAGCCAGGCACAGGAATGCCGTCGTAAACGATATCAACGTTGTGCGTACCCTCCTCGAAGGGCGTGTAATTGACGCTGTAAGTGCCGTCGCTCATAGGCGTGATGACTTTTTCCGTGACACCACCGCTCGGATTATTGATAGTGCATCCGAGACGTTCGCTCTCGCCTTTAGGCTTATTCACTGCCCTCGTGTCGATGGTGAATTTGGTCGGTTGATGGAGATTCACGCCTGAAAGGATAGTGTCGTTTAGAAAGAGATGCGATGACTTCATAAGATATGTAAATTTGTGAGGGTAAACATAAATGTGTGATCGATGTTTTTATCGACGTCGATCTAAGTCAAGCAAAAAAACGCATCACAACCGCTACTTTCTAAGAAATTCAATCAAGATAAAATGTTTCATTACAAAATTAGATAAATAATTAACAAGGCATACATGCTATATTACTCGTACAAGGCAATTAATTCTCAATATATATGAGAAAATTCAGTTTTATCGAGCTAAAACCGATACTCTCTATTTCATTGTTTATTGTTTCTTTTGCAAAAAGTATCAGTTTCTGCTCGCAATAACGGTATATAATGGATAGGTGGGCATATGTTATGAATACAACACTCAAAGCATTCGATAGTGTTACAGTATACATGCGATAAACTATGTGGATATACGATAAACACGTGTGACAGATATAGAAACAAACGAAGAAAGTCAATCAGGCACGAGTCGTAACATTGACTCTCGCACGGCTGTCCAGTGTATATAACAGGAACAAATATATTTTGTAAGAAAAAGACAAGCACGCTGATATATAGAGATGCACTGGTATATTTATGCACTGTGCGGATTGGTTGTGCCGTATAATAGCTGCTGACCATGAGGTTGTATGCCGCTGCCCGAGACCGTGATCTTGTTTACGTCGACGAGATCGTAGATCATGACCTGGAACGGCGAGTTGGGTATGTGCTCTTCCAGGAAGGTGATGTTGATGGAGTAGTCGCCCTCTTCGGTGGGCAGGTAGGCCACCGAGCAGGTGCCGTCGCCATTGTCTGCGCAGGTGATGGCGGCCTCGCAGGGCCCCTCGATCGTCACGCCGAGCGAGCCCTGTCCGGCGCCCCGCGTGTCGATGACGAACTTGGCCGGCCTGTTGGTGTAGCCCTCGACGAGGCCGGGCCCGTGGGCCTTGACGAGCTTCGGCTCGCTCTGCGGCAGGCAGGTGACGCGTCTGGGCAGGCTCGGCAGTGGCACTCCGCCAACGACCACATCCACGACGTAATCGCCGAGCTCGACGGGCGTGTACGAGACGAGGTAGCCGTCGGGCGTGGCGAGGACTTGGGCCTTGCAGGGCTTGCTCGACGGACTGCTGATGACAACCTGTATGTCCGGTAACGGCGATGATTGTTGTTGATAGCCGCTGGTAGCCTCCCGCGTTAGCACGCTAAACTGCTGGAGACTGTTCACGGGCGCGGCTGCGTTTTGACGTGACGTTTTCTTTTTTTTTGTTTCGTTCTTTGCATGTTTTTTTGATTTTTTTTTTTTCATTGCTTTTTTTGACTCGTAAAGTGCAGATATCGTGTGTTGTTCAGTAGTGTTAGTGTTGCGAAAGGCAACTGTCGCAGGTGTGCCTCGCGAAAACGTTCGCGTTTCGCTGATATTAATTGAGCGCAGAAGCCATATATACATATTCTGTCAGCGGTTGCATAAGTTTGGCACTCGAAGCGGTTACATATACAATCATGTCCTAGTGATAATTGGAGTGAGTGCGACGATGTGCGAGTCGTCGTTGTGCACGAGCCACGTTGATTCGATCGATAGCGCCTGGTGCCATTTATAGAGAGGATATTCGATCGATCGCTGCGAGTACGAAGTTTCGTTTTTTATGCGAATCGAGACCCACGAATGCCCACACGGGGGCGGCTCGGAGTTGGCTCGCGTTTATATCGCGCCCGCGACAAAATAATATTGTTTCTCGCATAGGCATTGGGAATTTTATATTTAGTATATAGCATCTCTCTCTCTCTCTCTCTCTTTCGTCCGAGAATAAACCAGTGTGCGTACATATGAGTATGTATCTCTGCGGCGCGCTGCGCGTGAACGTCACAAATTTAGCTGGAATCTCATGATTCGCATATTTGCCAGAGCGAGAAAATAGCTATATTTGCCGGGCCGACGGAGAGCGCGTGTGTATACGCGTGTAGCTTGTATTATTGCACACATTCTTCGGCTTCTAAACGCGCCGTAAGGGAGCCTTGCGCGAATTTTTGACTCTTGACACAGATTTGAGTGGGCAAACGAGAGCGAAACGAGAAAGAACGTTAGAATAAGCGTACAAATGACGTGATCGTGCCAGTGTGTCGTATGTGTGTGAATTATGTGGATTTTAAATTATGAACTAGAAACAACTTTATTTCTCACTGATGCTTAATTTTTTTCTCTATCCAAACATATAAATAGACTCGTATGAAAACATCGTTGAGAAATATCGCTCCCTAATGTCATATCTCGTTATCAGTAAAAGGTAGTAGAAATGATTCGACTTACTCGGTGCGAGACCGTTAACCTTGACCTTGTTAACGTCTACGTGCGGCTGGACGTTGATCTTGATCGGGCACTTGGGTACTTTGAGCCCACCGTAGGTCAAATTGGCCGTGTAGGTTCCAGGCTTGGGTGCGACGTAGTCGACCGTGTAGGTTCCGTCGTCGTTGTCGGTGAGCGAGATGGGCAATTCACGATCGTCGGGCGACTTCATTTGCGCAACCAACTCGCCAGGGCCAGCCTCGCGGCAGTTGACGTTGAAGTGCGTTGGGGTATTGCTCTTGGGGTTCTCCAAACCTGGACCATAGACCTGTACGAGAGCCGGATTCAAGGGGGCTTCGACCTTCACGCGATACGGCGATTTTTTCGTGGCCACGTTGCCGTAGTTGACTTGAACAACGTGATTCGAGCCCGAGGTCGGGTTGTACTGGGCTACAACGGTTCCGTCGCGTTTGTCTTCCAGTTTGACCGGTACGTCGCGACCAAAGGCATCCTTAATAGCTACTTCCAATGGAGCGATGCCTGCTTTTTTGTAATCTACGGTGAAATGAGTTGGTTTGTCGCAAACAACACCCGTCGGTTGGATACCCGGTCCACTGACTTCGACCTGAAAAATGCATCCGAAAATTAGTTTGAAACAGTTCGTCGCAAAGATATACGGACACGAGGCTAAAGACAAACCTTGTCAGGATGGAAATCGGACTGTGGCACGATGTGAGCGATGTACGGAGACTTGGGTATATCTTCGTTGTCGCACAAGATGTGCACGGCATATGGTCCAGGAGCGGTAGGCAAGTAGGACACATCGGCCGTACCGTCGCCGTTGTCGAAGCAGTCGATTTTGGCTTTCGAAGGTCCCTCGATGGAGAAACCAAGAGCACCGGTTTCGCCGTTCGTGTCGACGGTGAAGCGAGCCGGATGATTAACCACACCCCCGCGTAATCCAGGTCCGAAGACTCGGATGCGCGTCTCCTTGTAAGGTCCAACATTGACTTCGAACGGTGACTTGGGGATCTCCTTGCCTCCGTACGTGATCATAACTACGTGGCGGCCCTCTTTGACGGGGAAGTAATGGCACTCGTACGTTTCGTCATTGATCTTGGTTAGTCTGGGGGAAAATATCACGTATTAGATAGTACTCCTTGGTTGCGGATCATCGCTCTGTGTTGCAACACGTACTTAGCGGGCACAGTGACTCCACCGGGTGCGATGACACGCACTTCGGCCACACCTTCGCCGGCGTCTTTGGTCGTGATAATGAAGTCGGCGTCGTCTTTGACGCGCACTCCGTTGGACACCAAGCCACGGCCGTAAGCTCGGCATTTCTTAGCGTCGGACAGGGGCGAGATTCGTACCCCGGTTGGACTGTTGGGTATGAGCTTGCCGGCGAAGAAGATATTGACGGAGTGCAGACCGACGACTGGCGAGACGTACTCGCAACGATAGACATCGGGCGACGTTTGACGTAGTTTTACCGGTACTGTCGTTTTATTGCCCTGTATCGACACAAAAACCAAGTGAGAAATGTTTATGAACAACTCGACGAATTCTCACGGCAAACATATAATACGTTTGATGCGACGAATCTAAGTGATGCTAAAGAAACGCTTTAAAATGCAGCAAATCACAGTTGTCACACATTATTTTTTAAATATAACATATGAAAGCTGATGTATTTCGGCTGAACGTAAATTTATTAACTTCTTCGACGCACAGATTGAAGCAAATGATGACGCATGATAATATAATTTATTGTTTTGTTTGGTGTTTATTGGACGAAATTCTTGTCGATACGCATGAAAGAAATCATAATAATCGAGTAACTAAAATAAAAATAGGGTTAAAAATAATGATGAGTTATAATTTTAGAAATGTTCGTTACGATGCAGGAGCTTTTTCTTTTCGAGGTGTCCAACAACGCGCAAGCTTTGCTGAAGAAAGATAATATATTTCGATATAATAGACAGTCTCCGTAAAAACAATGCAACAAGTACTCCAACGTGAGTCTAATTATAAAAATTCGTAGAAAAGAGTTTCACTTTTTCTCTCAATAACAATGGGAACTTAAGTACTCCACGAACTTTTTTTCTGCTGAAAATATTTATAATAACAAATTTTATACTTGTCAGATACTTGATAACAATCATATTGAAATAAGCAAAAGTAATATGGAACACCACGGTATAGAAAGCAGTAAGCGATAAATTATTTATAATCTGAGGAAAGTCACTCTTTCTCGTTGCTATTTTCGTAAAAATTTTTTACAAGAAAATTTTAGAATTATTCGAAAACTTTACTCGGACGATTGACAGTAAAAATATTCAGATCGAACGTAAGTCAAGTTATTTTTTAATGTTCTGAGTTTTAAAAAATGTCTTGTCAATCTGAGATCATCTAAAACTAAGATGCGCGTTAATCATGTTATTTTACATAGAAAAAAATAGAGAAGGTTAATGTCGATTTGACGTTAGATATATAATAGTATTAAGAAAAAAAAGGTAATGCACTTCGTCGAAATTGGCAAGCGTTTGAAATTAGGTGTCCCATATTACCTGTGCTTACCACCAACGTTGCTGTGTCGTCCACCGCTGTTTTTCGTGATTGTCCATCGCATTATAAGGTCACAATTTTGTGCTGTCATTGTCGTCATTTTTGTTTTTGTGTGAGTCAAAACGTTGTTGTTTTCGTATAGTAATGTCAAATCAAAAATTGTTTTGGTTTCTAAATGTAAAATTAGTTTTAAACTTCCTATGTCTACAGTAGTAATTGGTTCTGTTTTCTACTTTGTATTCCTAATTTACTTCCTAATAATATAATCGTTATTCGTTTTTGAGTTAGTATGTCAAACGCGTCTAATTATAGTTATAACTACAAGGGGGCCTAATAATTAAGAGCGTTTGGCAGTATAGAGATACGGAAATTTAATAAATGTATAAAGATGAGGTAGATCAAACGATAAAAGAGAAGACTACCTATACGTTTAGACTAAACTTCTAAGGTTTGTATGTAAGTTTTTGTTATAAAAAAACAACGATTCCTACATGAGTCTAATTCTAAAAGTAGAGCATGATGAATTTTTATAATACTGATAAATGTGTTGGCATTAATGCACAGAGTGCTCATTGTTTATTGAGTTACTTAAGTTCTAAAAGCAGCAGTTAATTATTAGGCCAAGTGTATCAGAGGTGTGTGTATTCATGCGTATTTATATGCCAGTGTAAGTGTAAATTGTGTTTTTATGTGCGTGTAAGTGTACGTGTGTTTGTATAAATGTTTGTGTGGCACGTCTATGGATGGTAAGGCGAGTAGTAATAAGGCGTCACAGTCCGAGTCTGAGTCCTCACGTACTCTGTATAAGTGTAAGTTCGCGTCGTTCTTTGGACAGGCTGTTGGATTCGCAAAGAAAATATGAAAAAAGTAACAATAAAATTGTTATCATTAATCAAAGTGAATAAAGTAAAAGATAGTCGACAAACATTTGCTCTAATCTCTAAAAATCAGGCTCTCGATTTTTTGCAGAAAAAAAATACGCGCGTCAATACTGCTACGTTACATACGTGCTAACAATAGTAAAAAAGAAAATCGCGAACTCGCCGCGCGCGAGAAACAAGTTTAGCATCCGTCATCGCGCGCGGGCCCGACCTACATTCGCCTTTTTACGCGCGACTTATATAGCCCGCGCAAAAGGGTACAGAAAAAATAGAGTATACGCAGGCGTATGCGCGCGATTGACTTACCTGCGGATCGAGCACGACGACCTCGGGTATGCCGCGACCAGCGTCCTTCGTGTAAATGTCGAAGTAGGTCTGTCGATTGACGACGACGCCTTCGGGTTGCAGACCCGGACCGCTGGCCGTGACCATGCTGGCATCGCCGGCCTTGCCCTCGACCATCACTTGGAACGGGCTCTTGGGTATTTCCCGGCCGCCGAAGGTGACGCGCACCTTGTGCAGACCCTCGTTCACCGGCGTGTACGACACCGAGTACGTGAGATTGCGATCTTGATTGAACCTGATGTCGACCTTTAGAAATTCAGGAAAAAGGATTGCGTTGAATTGAGAGTTGTAATGGCGCGAGTGACAATTTGCAACTCTCAATCAAAACTTATTTTCTATAATTAGTGTTCATCAATTTGGTTATTGTAAGTATGGCACACATTGCTTTGAAAAAAAAAGAATTATACGTTTTAGAGCCGTATGAGAGCATCCAGCATCAAGTGGATGGTGCGTGGAAATTACCTTACCTCACCTCAAATTCACCTCTTTAAAAGAGTGCAATTATAAATTAGGCTGCGGATTCCAAGAATGTCATAAAAAAAATGTTTTCGTGTTCTATGCAAGTAACCAATTTTAAAAACTTTCTCGATATTGTGTTTTGTACGAGTTTTTGATTTGAAAGTTTTTAAATTGGTGTGATTAAAAAAATTGTTTTATGATTCAATAAATATAAATATGGGTGCAGAAATACGGATTCAAGGTAAAATTATAGTTACAATTCATCCGGTTAGTAAATCTATACAAAACATTACCGGTAATTTAAGACCCTTAGGGTCTTCGACAGTGACTTCGACAATTCCTTTGCCAGCTGAGAATGTTTCTACGTAGAAATTGGCGGGTGCACCGGTGATGGGACCAGTTGGTTCGATACCTGGACCGTAGGCACGTACTCTGTAAAAAAGCACTCGACATTTTTCAACCGCATGCTTGATGTCATTCTACTCATGCATTCAATAAAATTTTATTAAATAAATCGCCTTATCAAAGTATCAGTCATAAGCGTCACAATTTTAGATTTTTATGTTCATTAAATAAATTATTCTTAATTCGTGTGAATTACGTTAATGAAACTTAAAAGGGGCTACTACGAATGAGCAATCGATTGGATCATTTAAAAAGATTCGACCCTTTTGAGGAATATTGCGTCACTGATTCCATCGACTGCTAGGTATGCACACCCGCACACAAAGCGAGATTAGGTGCCTGAACGCAAAATGTTAATTGAGTAACGATTACAATATATAGATACAATATATAAATATGTACATGATACAACTAAATTAACGATTCCAAATTACGTGACACAGAGGCACTATGATGCATAAATAAAAATAAAATACTAAAAGCCTGTAGCGCAGCAGCTCAAAATTCGTACGTCGATGCTATTAATCGTAAAACTCGAACTCATTAAAATAAAACTACAACTTTTCCTGAGTGTTTTTTACGTGCTTTTAAATATGTAGTAATAAATTATGTAGTATTATTTCAGTAGCTTTATTGTGTTTGTTGTTTTGCAGAGTTGTCTATCTAAAGTGAACTTACCGCGGTGGAGGCACGCTGCATAAACGTGGCATGAAATAACACGATAATTTATTATATCAAACCATTGCATGAGAAATAATTTTCAAGTACTTTGGTACAAAGATTCGATAATGAACTCGCGGCTCGAAATTACCTGTTGGGATTGGTTCGTGGACGGAGAGGAGCGCCAGACTTCAATTTGGCGTTGGGGTACTGCGACAGATACGTCATCATAGACATCTCGTCGACGTTGGGATTGACCATCTCTTCTGGTTTAATGAGCTGAAATTTAGCAAATGCATTTTTTTCTCATCACAAACGAAGGCGGTTGCACCAGTCACGCGTCATCGATGAATAAGCCGCGCCTGATTTTTTTCGCGCTACTAATCAAGCGCGTGACTCATTAATACAATGAAAAAAACAACAGTGTCAAATTTTCACTGTTTTTCTCGACGTCGTGGATATCCACCGTACCTGAGGAATATTGAGCCAGTCGTCGGCCAGGCCCATCGCTTCGGCGGCGTTTTGCGCGGCATCCTTGGGATCCCAGCTCTTCCAGTCGGGGCAGAGACCAGGGGCGATGGCGTCGACCAGGGCACCGACAGCCCGACCGTCGTTCCAGTCGGACGTGAAGTTGTGAATCGGTATTTCCGGCACTTTGGCTTTGATCCAGTTGAGCAGGCGCTGCTTGGGGGTGGTGCCCTTGTCGGGGCCCTCGCCGTCGTCAAACTCCCACATTGGCATAGAGATGGCATAGTGCAAGATGAGCGTCCAGATTAGACCGAGAATGAGCTTGAGCTTGCTGTCGACGATATCGGTTGAATCTGAAATGAAGTTTTTTTCGTGAAGAATTCCGAGCTCAAAGCTAATTTTTCAATTAAATTTTTCAAGCGTAAAATATTTCCATTTTCAAGGACTATGCTCGTATTCATAAATTATCAATTTTATTTTCTTCCAAAGAGTAATAACTTTTTCTCTAATATAGGTGTTCATGGCAGATGATTTTCAGCTATATGTTGCCTCCAACATAGTATATACGTAAGCAAATTATACGAGGCGCAGTGCAAAATCCTTTCAAGGCATTCGAGCCACTCCGGACTTAATGTATTCTCTCGCACACGCCCATGGGGAAGAGACACAGAGCACAGCTACCTTGGGATTGGGATACTTCAGGTGTGCTCGCATATACGCGGGCTCTTCTTCTTTTGTATTATATACACACTTGACTCTTGGCAATTTTAGAACTTTACTCCGTCCGCGCGAGTCATTGTGCAGCATAATATAGGTAGGTACGCGCGTTCTCTTGTTTACTTTATGCTCGTGTATCGTCAATTTTTCGACGACTCGATGCCAACAATGTTTACGCTCGAGAGATGCTCTTTTTCATCGGCGAACTCTCTCGAACGGGGAATATCAATCTATAATTAGCTCGATCTTTGGTGGAAAACATAAAGATGCGTCAATGAAAAAGCTGAGCTATTTCTGGGCGCGCGCTCGCGAAAACTTATAAGCGACGTGTGTCAAAGCTCGGAGCGATAAACGGGCTCTCATTGTACGCGCAAAGTTATTCGAGCTACTCCAACTCCCTTGGATGGATTTCTCACGGTGATTCACTCCCTCTCAAAGTCATATCCAGACGAAGACGATGTTTTTTTAATAATTCATGGAAAATCCGGAAAAGACGCGACGTGCGCCGGGCGTATTATTGGAAAATCTTCGCACGCGCTTAATATCGGCCTCCTCTCGAAAAATATCGACGGAAAAGCTCATCCGTCTTGCGCGGGTTTGCGTCGAAAACCGCATACGAAATAAGACGCGTATACCTATATTTGTGCAGCGTACACCCGCCAATTGCTCGTGATGAGTCAAAGTTTGATTTTTCATTCGGAATTCGTAAGCGAAGAACGTCTGCGCCGTCTTTGTGTATGTCGGTCACGGAGCCCCTGCAACGCTGCCGCTGCTGCTGCAGCAGGTAATTGTATACCGCGCGCCGTCGAAAACTCTCATGAACTTTGCTTTTATAGACGAAGCTAATCAACCTCGGGAGCGAGTTCATTTCGACGCACGTTTGTCGATTATGAGAAACAATTTTTTTTCCTTCTCAAAGTAAACTAGATATATATGTATCACGATCGTAAAATTGCATTGCCTATTTATGGATCGTCGATACATTTTGACGCAAATAGGCGAGCCACGCGTCACCCGCCGCTGTTCTGTTTGTGCACTTCCCACATCGTAATGCCATACCAATTGATTGGATGCAACGTACCTTGAGTAATATAACGTAAACTTTGTTCTATAATAAGTATCACAAGTACCGACCGATGATTTTCAATGGTTCGACCGGAGTATATAATTTTAATTAAATTTCTATCTTTTTACGTAACAGAAGAGCTTTGAAATCGGATAAAAGAAAAAAGCATCAAAATATATATGAATCTGAAAGTCATATTTCAAGATGATTCTCAAAGGAAATCGACATTTGTACATAATAGCTGATAAGTTTTAATGACATTGGTAATAACTTTAAAAAAGAAGTCAAAAGATGTCCTTGAAGCATCTGTTGTAAAGCAATTTTTGTTCGAGACATATTTCTTTTGGATGAAAGACGGGGGACTCAAAATTCATTTATCATAAGTAAGATATTGTTAATTAAAAAAAGAAGTAGAGATTCCAAATTGTATTTGTAGGGAATATACAGTTTCAGCGCACAATAGAAAGCGCAAACGCAAGCGTTTAAATAATACGACGTTGAATGGCCCGTTGTCCTGCTGCTGTTGTATTGTATATATGGGCCAACTCTATCGACTATCGACTATTGTGCGCTGCAACGTCGCAATATATATAGACACGTCCGAAAGCTTTGCGCTAATTACTCGTACACGCGACGCTTGGCATTTTTTGTGTACACACCACACGACAGGTGTGTATGTCAAAAACGACTCAATTTTTTGGCGCACACATGTCATTCTGCAGATACGAACGTGACTCATCGATCTATTGCATTTCTGCATCATTTTATTATGAACCTTGGCATTAATGCAATTAATTCGCGGACTCTGCGTGTATACGCGATACATCTCGGAAGCGGCTGCTGCCATTCGATGTACTCGCTTCTCTTATCGAAATAATGATTTCTCTACGATCGTTCATAACTCGAGCTAAATAGCAGCTATAAAATATTTATACTTCTCGAGATTGATGCACCGACAAGATCGAGAGTGAAAAAACAAAGCGGGTCTGTTGTTTTGTTGTTTCATTCTCGTTTTACATAGGAAACCACTGTCTCGAGAGAGAAAGAATAGTGATTTGCGCGTCCTAGATGAAGTCGGCATTGAATGTGTGAGCCGTGTGCGCTGCAGGCAAGTTTAGACGGTGACGTCAGATACATCTCTCGTAGCGCCGGCAGATAGCGACGAGAGCCTCGAGCTCGAACGAGCAAAGCCACGCGAAACCGCAAAAAAAAAGAAGAGAGAGAGATGGCAGCGAATTAGCATTTTCGAGCGATAAGAATTCGTACGCGCGCACCAGCTGTACACACAGGCTTTGCAAAGTACATACACGATTGGGCAGGTCAATTGATACGTTTTCGAGTGATTTTATTTTAATAATTTTACAATTACGTTGATCCATCGATTCTCGTCGCGGAGGAAGTGCGCTATCAACGTGCACTTGTTCCTGATGCACTTATGATAGCACCAAATATTTATAGTACATAACATTTCGGGTCAAAAGTCGACTTTGGAGGCAATTTAAAAGTAGCGCGCCTACTCGCGGCGGTCGATGAGGCTCGTCGCGCTGTCAACAAGTGGCCATTCGCTTTCTCTGTTTCTCGAGCGAGACTTAGCGAGCGCCCAAGAGAGCGACTGCAGCACGTGCAATAACATCGCCCTATACTAATAATACACCCAACTACGTAGAGGCTGCGATCTTTATGGGGAAAACGCGCAGGCGTCCTCGGCACGTCTTCCGTCTCAGTTCCCATGCACTACCTGTGCAACGAGAAATTTTTTCATTTCATCTCGTATCTTCGCATTTTACTTTGTTTCGCGTGTAAAAGTTTTTTCGTTTGAGTCGATGTATAGTTACAGGCCCCACGAGTCCACAGGCGAGTGCAGTACCTACGCACGTTTGCACCGCCGAAAAGAGAGACAGAGACACAGAGGAGGATGAGAGGCAGAGAGGAGCACTTAACAAGGGCGTGTGCGTGCACGGAAAAGGGGTTAAAACGCCGGCGACGCCCGGGCCAAAGCGCATCGATCGGAGCAATGCTCCCTCTCTCTCTTCCGTATACTGCATTTTATACACGGCGGCCAATATAGGTCATGACCCCCCGTGCTACTGCTACTGCTGCCGCTCTGTGTGCTATGCTGCGGCAGCTGCGTGCGATGTTACCCACCCACCCGTCCATAGAAATCCTCTCTCTCTCTCTCTCTTTTGCTCTGTATATATCTATATGTATAATAAACATACGTGTGCGAGTTTTCCGCGCACTTTTGCGGCCTGGCCGTGTGCGTGTGTAAGCCTGCGTGTGTATGTGTACGTGTGGCCGGCGCCCAACCTTGCGATCTTGAAACTCGATCGACCTCCGTGCGTTGCACCGGATTGACCGAATTATCGGGCCACCAGTGGCCTATTAGACGCTAATGCCGCAGGTAAAAGCTCCTGTACGTATATATGCGCGGGCTATGCACTATACGGGTAGCTTCGCTGAGCACCGATGATTACTCATATAATTCGCCGAGATATTATTCGCAAAACACGTCGATCCGGAATAGAGATGCGCCGAACGAGCAACTAATTCGATTACGGATGCGATTTATGCGATGTTTTTCGATAAAAATAAGGAAAAAATATTTTTATCGCTTTTTAAAGAACAACGGCGCCTCGATTGATACTTTTTTTTCAAAACGTTTAGTTTACAGCGCTTGAATCAAAACGATAAGCGATTGATTAAGCATTTCTGGGTTAGTAATGTGACTTAAAGAGGACAGTTTTTTTTTCTTTTTCGCTTGAAAAGTACGTGGCTATAGCTTCGTCGAGACTGCGATAGTTAATGCTTCGGTCAAGATACGTCACACCCATACGACCCGACGAGAGTCGCGTTAGTCGACTGCATGCCGCACGCTTTGCAAAAACAAATGAAAAGTAAAAGAAAAAACCAGTCGAGATGTTTAAAGTTTTTCTCTCGCCGAGCGAGCTTGACAAAACGGTTCATGCGCGCTGCACTCGATTATAAACAGCATTAATGTCCTTATACGGGTATCGCGCGCGAGCTTATCTGAAAAATTACATAAAGACTACGCGAGCGCGAGTTGGAGACTACTTGGCTCTCTCGGTTACAAGGCGATCAGCTGCTAATCTAAACAAAACAAAGAGCCGCGAGAGAGACTCGTTTACGCACGCCTATACGCACGATACGTATATTATGCGATCGTATTCAATCGGTGATTTAATAAGCGACGCAGCTATGTTATATACACCTCGGTTAAAGGAGAGCGAGAGATCGTGCGTGTAAAAATCATAAGCGCGAAACTGACCTACTAAGTCATCGAGCGCGTGTACGTATGTGTAATGAAGCTAATTGATCCTCCGCCGATGTAATACATTTTTTCAATGCGTCGCTGTAAAGTTGCGATAATACCGTGTATATCGGAGCAATGCCCATTGGAGCGTGTCACGAAGCACATGTTTACGACGAGTGCCTGCTCACTTGTACATACATATTCGGCACTTTAATCAAATTTTTGGCTCGCTAATTGCTCAACACGCGGCGGCAACACGGCGTCGGTGGCGGACACGCCTCGGCACTCGTGTATATATCGGACTGAATTCGATCGCAATAATTGCTCCCCGAACGTAAGCTGCCCGTTAACTGTGTATGTACGAGTGACACTCGTGCTTAATTCAATTAACTGGAGAGCAGGAGGATACGTGTTTTTTATCATTGTTCAACGTGGGCGAAATAGTCAGCAGGCATTACACGATAGCCAAGGGCGAGAAAAGCTGGGCTATTATACGGAAATCACTTTTTCCAACGAAACTCGAAGTTTGTCAGAAAAATCGAAAGGATCATAAAGTCGCTAAAGTGGGAGGGTGGCGAACGCATGCATATATAGAAGCGCTTTATTGAAATCATCTGTTGCTGAAGACACATGAACGAGCGCACGCATGTAATTATATGCACGGGGTGCGCGCAGCAGGTAGTTTGGCAAATCCGTTCGTATGCATCGCGCTCGGAGCTTGTTTACATGAAGTAGCATCGCCGATTAATAATACGGTTCTAATAGAGGAGCTACGTACCAATGTTGACAATGCGAATTCCCTGATTCTGGAGGAACTTGAGGGCGACCGAGACGTTCTCGAGCTTCTGCGAGCGGAAGGTCGGCTTCTTGTTGTGCTTGGGCAGGCGCTTCTGGGCCAGCACCTCGATCAGCTGGATGAGCTTGAGGCCGTCCGATAGGTCGGTCTCGAGGTCGTAGATGAAGTTGTTGGCGCACTTGAGGTGCTCGTTGGCCCAGCGCGTAAAGGTGTTTTGCTGGATACGCTTCCATTCGGCGTCCTCGGCGAGCTCGCGCTCGACCATGTCGGTTTCCTCGCCAGGCGCGACTGTGTGATGATGCCCGTATTCATTCATTTTGAATCGCTTCGCAGTTTCCTCTCGTCCTAGTATGTGTGTGTCCGTGCGCCTCTGGCTTAAGCCTTTTCTCTCCTCTTCTTGCCTACACGCTAGGGGCTAGCTGCTGCTGCTGCCTTGCGCTGGGTCCTGCGCAGCGCACGTTTGAATCTACACACACAAGCGCACGCACAGCCGAGCAAATACACACACCGACACGGATTACTACGGATACTTTTGTCCTTGTTGCGTTGCGGCTTTCAAAGTGGGTGGCGAAACGACACCGGCGGCGCGCGCAGCTCTTCTCTCTCGCTCTCTCTCACTCACTTGCTCCTCAGTTCACCGGAGCGCGCACCGACTCCGACTGCTGCTCCTATCTGCCCGCGTTTCTATTTTGCACAGCGATTCGCGCCAGGCTCTCGGCTCGGCACACGTGCGTGTATGTGCGTGGTACGATGATGATCGAGTGGGCGCCGGTTCTGCTGCTGCTGCTGCTTCTCGAGCTCTTCGGTTGCCCCCTGTACAGGCGTTGTTGCTCCTCGATGCTGATCTGATGACAAAAAATAAGAATAACTCATTACGGCGTGCTCGACTGGACTCGACTGGGACATAAACATCGCACTGTCCCCGCGTTGTATATTTTCGTTGGCCGATTTGTTTGGATTTCGCGCGCGTCGCCACGACATTGTGTTATACGTGCTTTTATTGTGATCGAGTCCCCAAGGTGAGTTTCGCAATGATTCCTGCACTCCAGAAGAGTGAGTCGATTAGTCAAAGATAACATAGAATCTCGGCATTGTGCGCGGGGGGGAAAAAAATAAAAATAGACGTCTGATGCACCATCGCTTCTACGTCCGAGCTTGCTTCGCGCTTATAGCGTCTTAATTCGAGCTATTCTGTCATTCGTTGGTATATTGCTCATCGCAAGAAAGAGAGAATTCATAACAAGCTCGAAAGCTTAGCGCAAAATATTGAAATTACACCGTGCGCGACTTGTTTTGGCAAGTTTGCGCAATCGATCGGGAGCCTCACTTCCGAATGCCTCGCGTCGATATGTTTTGCGCTTATTTTAAGACCGACGAATTTTGCGCTCGCGTACCCCGCGCATATACGTCTGTGTAATTCGATATTAAAGCGGCGCCTCGCGGCTTCTTCTCTCGCTTATTTTTATTTTTGGAAAATTTCCGCACAATTTCCGCTTCTAATAATAATCCTTTGACGAAGAAGAAAAAAATCGCGACGGGCACACGGCAACGAGACCTCCTTCTGCTTTGCCTTAATTAATTAACAAAATTTAAACGTTACATATTTCACCGACCACTTCAGACCCGATAAATTTTCAAGTTCAACCTCGCGGTTTGTATAATTACGAAAATAAAGCCTGAATCAATTGCTTGCAACTGTAACGAGTTAACGAAATGCATAAGTCATTATTGGCATCCTGCCAATTATGACGCTAATTAATTTTCCGGATGAAAATAAAACGCTCACTTAACTTTATTATAATTCAGCGTGAACTTGCAATTTACGAGCTACCGTGAGCTTTTTTTCTCTCTCGAGAATCTTATAACGAAGCGCAGCAAGAGCTTTATAGCTCGGGCTCACTTGCATCAAATTCAAGATTGAAGTGTGCAATATACACGACCGTTCCGCGGTTTTATACGACTTTTACACCTACGATGTATAAATAAAATGCCAACGAAACGAAACGCGAGATTGCATATACAAAGAAGAGATGGAGCCTGTATACGAATTTTACTATTTATGTATACAACTAGCGGTTAAATTGTCACTTTTATCGAAGCGCTAAAGCAACACCGTGTGCAGCTGCAGTGGCGTCTTTATTTTTTTTCCAGGGTAACTGAGAATGTCGAAACATAACTTGGAGCTTTGGCAGACAAGTAGAAAACTTTGTCAAAGAAGCGTGTCGTAAACAGAATTCGTCGACTTAGCAGCGGAGACGGCAGCGAAAAGTGCCAAAAAACAACGCGATAATTTCATAACTTTGAACGTTGAGCGAGCAAAAATATTCTGCAAGCAGTTTCTCAACGTCTCAGCTGGTAAATTGCATCGAGAGGATCGCCGCTCGAGGCACCGGACTATATACATGACTGCAGCGGGCTCGCCGGCAACATAGAGAGATTACGATAAGCAGTAGCAGCAGCGTGAAAAAGCTCGCAAGCTCCCGTATAGGCCGCAGACTCGTTGTCAATCCAGAGCTATGCTTCACGTTTTTAAATATCTTTTCGAGGCAAAAGAGAGCAAGGTAAAACTGTGAAAACACTGAGCAGTCGTCTTGGTCGTTGTCGTCTTCCCATGCATACGAGCACACATTCACACACGCACACCTTCGTACACTCGGTATTAGAGATTGGAGTCGCGCACTTTACCGAACCACTATGAGTTATTACTTTTATTATTGCTACTGCTATCGCAGAAAACTTGCCTCGGGGTAAAGGTATGGCGTTCAAGTATTTACCAGCCGCTCGGTAATAATTCGGTTTTGCTGATGATGTCGCCTCAGCGAAGGCGAATACAACTCTGAGAGAAGCGAGCAGCAGCGTCGGCTCGGCTCTCCGCGCGTTCTCCAAGAATAGTTTCGCTCGCTCTTTCTCTCTTTCTCGCGTGCGTTCTTTCTCTCTCTCGCTCGCTCGCTCGCTCTCTCTTTCGTTCTTTCGACGGCAGCGGCTACTCGCCCCCGAGGAGGCACCGGTGAGTATTCGCAAAGATACACATATACATATATTCATCCAGATGTCGCAGATCTCACGAGCGCCCATGCGGTCTCTTTCTCTCTCTCTCTCTTACTCTCTCTTTCTCCCGATACAACATATATAAATAATGCATTACAGCAGCGAGCATTAGCTCTGCTTTTTGTCCGCGCCAGTCAGCGATTCCACCCGAGCCGTCCGAAAAAACTATTGTCCTGCGCGCGGCTCGTACGTGTGTCTATGGGAAACGGAATGAGAGAGGGAGAGAGGAGAGAGTGCCTCGACTCGAGTCCGTGAATTGGCTTTTAACGCGCCAAAAACACGCGCTCGCGCGAGTTGGATGAACTGGATGGGCTAAGAAAATAGCTCAATGGTAGTGACCCATTTATCATATACGCGTAACATTTGAGAAAGATATAGAAAAAGCTTTACTGGCTACACGGATAAAGGCTTAATATTGTAGATCTTTGTTGCAACTTTTCTCTCGGATTCTCTCCGCTGTGTTGTATTTTTGGCTCAAACCTCGTAAACGGCAGATCTGACTCGTGTAATAATACTAATAAAATAGACTTTTCGACAAACACACGAAGGCGCGCGCGGCTTTATAAATATGCAACAATCGGCAATCGTTGGTTTTTTCGTCGTTGCGAAACTATACGAGGGAGAGAGAGAGAAAGAGGCAAAAATACACCGATAGTGAACCAAGCTCGAGGTTTGTTTAATTACGAACACAGCACAGTGCAAAGCTCACGTACTGTGTACACACGCTTCTAACCCTGACGCGCCAAAATAAAGCGCGACGCGGCGACAACTTTACATACTGTTTACGTTTGATCGGACGCAGCTTTTTTCATTTATTTATCGATTTTGTTCTTTGGTTGAATCGACAAATTTATTTTGATTTTGTCAGGTTTGGTTGTCGCATTACATCCATTCAAAATCTGTCGTTTTATGATAAAGTTCAGCTGCCGCAGTACTTATGAACTATAAAACGAAACTCGAGCCGACTTGCGAGCAATAAAATTTCAAAAAACTCAATCGTGAAATAACGCGCGAGATTCATTGCCACCTACGCAGCTGTATGCACCTACGCATTTCACGGTAGTTCATCTCTCGCTCTCTGCCTCTCTCTCTCTCTCTCTTTTTCTGCAGCAGTGAAAGAAGCCTCTCGGCAATCGAAAAGCATAGCAAATGCCACCTTGGGCACGAGTAGCCAAAAATCTGTTAAAATTTGTGCGTAAACGCGAGGCCGATTCCCATCGGACGCGCGCGCGCGCCTCGTCGTCTATATAATGTCCCGTGACCCGCTGGCCCACTAAAGCCTCTCGCGAACGAAAGTCACGCACCAGCGCTATACCAGCTCGTCTGTGTCTGCGCACAGTAGCGCTTGTTTTGACAGAACAGGAGGAAAAAATCGCTGCGCGCACCCTATATAAGGACATGGACTCTCTTTCGCGATCATATTTCTATATAATGGCAAGTCGTCGGCCGAAGCTTACCATAATCGGAATCAAATGAGCGCCGGCCGCGCGCGACCCTGATGACGATGATCGTGTGCCTGCGCAACCCGTTTCCCTCGATGTTTATCTGCGTATAGTTAGAATTATTGTACGGAGCCCAGCATCCCACCTGCTGAATCATTATTTTGCTCTTTTTCGCGACTTTTTCCGCTTACGGTCTGTTGCAATGTCTCATTGCGATTTCTTAAGAACTTATTATATTGCAGGTACGAATTTTACGTCTCAAGGATCGATCGATGCGTAATTAGATCTAACTTTTTTTTCAATAACTATTTAAATATTATGTGGTTCTGTCGGGGATATAATTCAAATTTACTTACGGCTAGCACTGGTCGAATTAACCTTGCCCATTATATTTTCGTCACCTTCGTCGCTATTTCATGAGCCGAAAAAAACAATGTAGAATAGAAGACTTGACTCTTGATACAAATCTTATGCTATGAGCGTCGTATTGTAATAAAGTTTTCATCTTCCGAGGTTGAAAGGCGTTCGCCGTGAGATATTTTTGCTACGTTTTTATGATTTATGTGAATGTACATGATGACATTGACCGTCGCTGGAAAAACGGGGTAAGGACAAAAATCTTCAACGCAAATACATCGTTCTCTGTGACTTGAACTTTCCTCAAAGAAATCATTTCTTCGATTTTACAACAAGAGTGTAATTCGATACTGTGGGACTATATTTTCATGTTCTTTCGAAAAAAATTGTTTGTCACTACTTGAACGATATATCTTATCCAGATGGTAGTTTTTAATTTCTATAACAAAAAACATTTATTTAAAAACATTGTACTTTTCTATACAATTAATTAACATTACTTATTTTAGTAAACGCATAATTTGATAATTTATATCAATAGGTAAAAAAGATTGATGAATGAAATGATACTGATCGTGATATTGATGATGGCAGAATGATTTTTTCATTGGATGATCCATGTGATGCAATCATGTAAATGATATACCAGTCTCAAGTCGGATACATAAATAAATAGGAACATGATTTTGAGTATTATTGAGACATTTTGATCTTCATGTTATTAAAATCATCTTCATTTTGCGATCTGCAAAAGTTTTTATTCACATGTGAATAAATAATATTAATTGATCCCTATGTTTATTGTCGTTTTTGGGAGATTGGGGATATGATATTCACTTGTTTATTGAGTCGACTGCTTTTTTCGCGGCTTCGTCAAGATCTCCAGCCGTCAGAATTGGCAAACCAGATTCAGCTAGAATTTTTTTAGCTTGCTCAACATTGGTACCTTAAAAAAAAGTTTTTTTTATTTAAATATTAACTCAAAAAAAATTACTTTTTCAATGTTCACTTACCTTCTAATCTGACTACAAGAGGAATGTTTAATCCCAACTTTTTAGAGGCAGATACAATTCCATTGGCAATGGTGGCACAATTTACGATACCACCAAAAACATTAACGAGAATAGATTTTACCTTTGGATCTAAAAATAAAAAAAAATAAATAAATTATTAAAAAGTACATTTTTCAATAATAAAAGTCAATTTTAATTTTTAACCTTCTGTTAAAATTCTGAAAGCTTGATAAACTTGATCTTCTTTCACACTACCCCCTACATCTAAAAAGTTTGCTGGTGATCCACCATGTAATTTGATTATATCCATTGTAGCCATTGCAAGACCAGCTCCATTAACTGTTAGATTAACATAATAAAATTAAAATTTGAAATACTATAAAAGACATTCAGATTTGTCTTGATATTTTTTATAATATGAGTTACTTGCCTAAGCAACCAATATTTCCATCCATTCCAATGTAATTCAAGTTAAAATTAGAAGCATCAACTTCACGGGGATCTTTCTCATTTGTATCTTCTAAAGAAAATATATCTTTTTGCCTAAATTCTGCATTATCATCAAATGATATTTTGGCATCTACTGCAACAATTTGTCCATCTTTAGTTTCAACTAATGGGTTGATTTCTACTTGCAATGCATCAATATCAACAAATAATTTCCACAAGTTTTTTAATTCAGAAACTGCTTTGGCTTTTAATTTTTCATCCTTAAATCCTAAGAAATCTGCTACTTCTGTAGCAATTTCATCATCAATGCCATAATAAATATCCAAAGGGATAGTTTTGATTTGCTCAGGAGTTTTTTCTGCCACAGCTTCAATATCCATACCTCCAGCAGGGGATGCTATTAAAACTGGACCATTGTGAGATCTGTCCATTAGTATGCAAATGTATGTTTCTTTAATGATATCTACAGATTCTGCAATCATAACTTTTTGAACTAAAATTCCATCTTTTGTCGTTTGTTTTGTTATCAAACGATGGCCCAACATCTTTTTAACATAATCTCCAACTGCCTTTGGACTGATTAAAAGCAAAATTATTAAAAGCTTCTAATACTTGAATTGTAACTAATATATGCTATGTTGGGAATACTTACTCTTTAGTAATTTGAACTCCCCCTTTGAAGCCATTATCAAACCAGCCTTTTCCTCTCCCACCAGCTAGTACTTGAGCTTTAATTACATACTCTTGGGCACCTACATAATTATATAATATATATAATATACAAATGAAATATAGCTCATTCTTTAAATAAAAGCCATAAAAAATAGTAACTCCATAAGAATAAAAAAGGGCTACACAGAAACAAATGAACTACAGAAACTACATACTTAATTGTTTTATGGCATTGTTGGTACTTTGGGCATTGTCGATAACTGCAAAATTCTGAACTGACACTCCAGAATCCCTCAAAAGTTCTTTACTTTGATATTCAAGTAAATTAAGATTTCTCACAGGCATAACTGCAAGCTGTGCCATGTACTTTAAATTGTTGAAGGGACCCAAAAGGGTTCGGCGCAGGAGTAAATTTGACATTTTGTTTAACCTCTGTTTAGGTCTTGTCTTAACCGAAATTCTTCTCGTCGACTCCGATTACGTGTCTGCCAAGTAATGCAATAAAAAAAATGATTAAACCGGGTATTGTTGACTTTTGTTTATCCCAGTGCGAAGTCGCCGCAAACTTGGAAGGAGAAAATATAAAATGTATACCAGCTACACGGATAATTTATCAGACGACCAGCAGCGGCACGCAAGAGATCGAAGTGCTTGATAAGTGAGGTCGTAAGGCCGTGGACTGGCTGTAATACTTGCGCGCGTTTATTCGTATCAAAATAATAAAGAAGCGGCTTATCTGTCGCTCTTGCGGGAGAGCAGAGATCTCTTATTTGTAATGAGTATATACGAAGACAGAAAAACACACGCGGTCCGTGAACGATGGCACATTCCACTCGCGCAGGCCAAATGCTTTGCCAACTTGAAGGGTCTGAAAATTCAAATTGCGAAGAAACGAATGAGCGCCGCTGTGTTCGTCGTTCGGCAATGTCTAGCAGAAGATGAAACGTGTGAAAGCACGGCCGTGTATGTGTATGCGTGTTTACGTGGTGTGCAATAAAGCTCGCTGTTGACTTCTGTTCTTGTCGATTGTCATTGCCGGTGGTTGAGTTACGTCCTCAGCCGAAAATTAACGCGAGTGCACAATGGCACCGAAGGAGAGCAGTGATGTTGAACAGGAGCAGGAATTGTCTGTGCCAGAAACTTATTCCCTGGAAAGTAAGTTTTTTGGCAACTCTAACCTTACTTCCGATGTTGTGTTTTTCCATATGTTGTCATTATCTGAAAATTGCAATTTTATGACAATTGTCGAGTATTCAACCAATTATCAATGATCCTTCGTTCGGTTCTAGTTTTAAAAATAATCAGAGATGCACAACAACAACATGGTTTAAGGCATGGCGATTATCAGAGATATCGAGGATATTGCTCGCGACGTTTGAGACGTCTCCGAAAAGTTCTCAAAGTACCACAAGGTGATAGACGGCACTTCAAAAGACGCGATGTACTTCCTGCCATGGTCACGGATGACAAATTTCTGCAGATTCCCTTGACTTTGGCAGAAAGAGCTTGGGCTTATGCTATGCAACTCAGGCAAGAATCTAATACAGAGCCTCGAAAAAGGTTTCACTTGGTTTCCAGATTGAGGAAAGCTGGTAGTTATGCAAATGAATTGCATCAGCTCATTGAGGTATTCTTGCAACTATTACAAGATAATTTTTGTGATATTTTTCATTTTATGCATTTTACGTTTATTTTAGAGTATCAACTGCGATGCCAGAACTAAACTGGAAATTCAAGCATATGTAGCATATATTCAAGGATCTATAAATTTTGAGTTGCAAGAATGGGCTCCAGCCATGGAGAACTTCAAAAAAGCTCAAGTACTTTATGAAAATCTGGCTAAAGCTCTTCCAGAACATGAACAGCTTATATATAAACAAAGAGTAGATGAAATTACTCCCAATCTTAGGTACTGCGCATACAATATTGGTGACACAACTGCCATTGATGATCTCATGCAGATGCGTGGCAAATTGGGAGGAGAAATCTTGAATAATTTGGATACTCTGATACATCAAACCAGAGAAAAACAAGCTAGTACGGAAGAAATAACTTGGAGAGGTAAATCTTGTGGGAGTGCCCCACCTAAAGCTGCTGCCTTAATTATGGCAGATAAATCTTTAAATGGCACATTAGAAAAAGCAGATAGTAATCAAGCCAAGATTGATATACTGGAAGCACATTTGATAGATTGCAAAGATGCAATTGCTTTAGTTCGTGAAGAACTGAAGGGTGATTTGAAGAACAAAGATACTGATAAAGCTCCTCAGCAGTTACTCGCGTACCTGCAGTATATTCGACTTTCCCGCACACTTGAGCGGAATTTAATTTTGGTTAAAATAGCCGAAGATTCCGAAAAAACAAAATCACAGGATATCGTACGTCTGTACGAGGCTGCTTTGCACAATCTTGTCGAAATATCGCAATTACAAGATGATGAAGGATTTTTACTCGAACACGACGCAAAGACAAAAAGTTACAGAGCTTTCCGTTGTTTCTACATGGCCAAATCACTCGCCAATTTACATCGTTGGCGCGAGGCAATGGCTTTGTATCATAGATCTTTGCAACATGTTAAAGATGCAATGGAGCATAAGAGTTTATTGCCTGCTAATTTGAACGAAGACTTGGCTAAATTAGAATCTCTTATAGAAGGAGCTCAATGTGCAGCTCATGCATATAGTATTCTGGAAGAAGGCCAAGAAGAGGAATCATCCTCTAATAATAAACAAGTTAAAAGTAAAAAGGTACTATTGGAACGATTACATGAGTACCAAGAAGATCCAGCACTGTTGACCAAGCAACCGAACGTGTGTAAATTGCCGCCCCCGATGCAGAGCATCCCCTGCAAACCGTTATTCTTCGATTTGGCGTTCAATATGATTGATTTTCCAGATCTGTCTGATAAATTGAAGGAGCAAGATAAGAAAGGCGAAAAGACGGGCTTGGCCGGTTTGGTTAAAGGTCTCTGGGGATGGGGTAATAAATAAATAAGAATGCAGCACATTCTTCATCATCTAATGTATCATGTTAATAATGAATTATATATTGTACGTTTCTACGTTTTTCGGAAAATGTATCATTTATATACCATGATTGCAATTACTGAAATAAATTTTGCAATTTAATTTATAAGAATGTAAACATTGACTAATTTTTTTATTTATCTGTCAACAATTCACCCACACTATCGCAATAGCTTGCGCTTTTTTTTCAAACGCGAATAAATTCAAATTTTGCCGCTAGCAATTCAGTTGGCATTAGTGATGGACCATGATTTCATCGCGGGATCTCATTTCCAACTGGTTAAAAATCACGTGTGCACTGCACTTTGCACTGTGCACTTGAAAGTAATTTATCTCGCGAGATAAACTCGTAGTATCTACTGACTCAATACTTTTGTTTCCGTAAAAAATACCATAGATTCTAGAATGGATGCTCAATTAAGGAAATTGGCTGTGAAACTTCACCATATTGGTGCTATCAAGTATGGTAATTTTACTACAAAAGTTGGCCTCCAAACTCCAATTTACATCGACCTAAGAGTTATCATTTCCGATCCCGATTTATTGGTAAGTTTTTTGTATTTTTTACGCGAATTACATCAAATTTTTTGGGTCTCAATTTTTTAAAACCATTCTAACCAAATTAAAATAATGCAGGAAGAACTTTCACTAGCACTTTGGAGCCTTAGTGATGAAGAAGACAAACATCATCATGTATGTGGTGTACCCTATACTGCTCTACCATTAGCGACGACCATTTCATTAAAATCCCGTGTACCAATGTTAATAAGGAGAAAAGAAGCAAAATCATATGGAACAAAAAAAATGATTGAAGGTCTTTATGAAAAAGGAGATACTGCTGTTATTATAGAAGACATAATTACAAGTGGTTCAAGTATCATTGAAACCGTTAAAGATTTAAAAAAAGAAGGTCTCAATGTGAATAAAGCTTTTGTGATTGTAAACAGAGAACAAGGAGGTAAAAAAAATCTTGAAGATGCTGGAATCACAGTGAAATATTTGTTCACAATGACACAACTAGTTGATTACTTGTATCAAGAAGGAATATTTACGCAACAATGTGTAGATGAAGTAAAGGAATACATAAAAAATTCTCAAATACCAATGAAAGTAAAAGTTGAGAATGAAAGGTTGATTCAGAGTTTTTCAACCAGAGCCAAAGCAAGTAAAAACCAATCTGCAATTAAATTGTTTAAACTAATGGAACAAAAACAAACAACATTATGTTTGGCTGCTGACTTTGTAAAATCTCAAGAAATTTTAGATATTGCACAATTAGCTGGTCCTCATATTGCAGTATTGAAAGTACATATTGATATTGTAGAGGATTACAACAAAGACCTTATTCAGAATCTCAAAAACTTGGCTAAGACTCATAACTTTATGATCATGGAAGACAGAAAATTTGCAGATATTGGTCAAGTAGTATCTCAGCAATTTAGAAATGGTATTTATTCAATTGCAGAATGGGCTGATTTAATTACAGTTCACCCAGTACCTGGTAAAGGAATAATCCAAGGCATTGGCAAGGGTCTTGATGAATGTTCCGAAGATAAAGGAATATTTATTGTAGCTGAGATGTCATCTGCTGGTGCTTTAACTACAGGAGAATATGTTGAAAAAGCAGTAAAAGAAGTTGCAGACTCTGAAATGGTGACTGGATTTGTTTGCCAAACAAATATTTTCAAAGATCCAGGACTCATTCAACTAACTCCTGGTGTTAAATTAGTAGAATCAGCTGATGATTTAGGACAACAGTACAATACTCCCAATGCTGTTGTTGATAAAGGAGCTGATTTAATTGTTGTTGGTAGAGGAATTACTCAAGCCAAAGACCAATTATCGGCTGTCATAGAATACAAAAAAGTTCTCTGGGAAGCCTATAAAAAACGAGTTGTTGAAAATACAGAATAATATTTTACACTATTAACAAATATATGTGAAGCAGGCATTCATTGATATTTTGAATAGTAAAATTCAAAATTAAAATATATTTTTCTGTTGGTATAGATAAATATTTGATTAATGTAACCCTTTTTTACTTTGTACAAATGTTATAAATACATTTTATTCAAATATTTTTGTACATGAAGTTATATTAACAGTGCAATTGTGTAAAGAACTTAACATATTAAATAAAATATCATACAAAAAATTACTCATTGCTAAGCCTCTTTACTCTTAGTAATTTGTTCTAATAGTTGCATAAAAGCTTTTGCTCCTGGACTGTCTGGAAAATTTTTCATAATACTTTGGCTTTTATCTGCAAATTTTCCAATAGTTGGATCAATTGGAATTTTTGTTAGGAAAGGTACTTTAGTGATTTCCGACAAGGAGATTCCACCATCCGAAGAGAATATATTTGTACATTCCTTAAATCAATATTCAGTAAAATAATTTTAAATATCATTACTCAGAAAATAAATTAAAAATTTTGGTTAATACTTACATAACATGTTGGACAAACAAAACCACTCATATTTTCAACAATACCAACTATTGGGATACCAGTTTTTTTACAAAATGTAATTTCTTTGATAACATCATCAATGGCAACAGCTTGGGGTGTTGTAACAATTATGGCTCCATCACATTTCACAGTTCTTAAAGAATTAAAGAAAAAGATATATAGTAACAGTTTATGTGCAAAAAAGTCAATATTTATTGTTTGCTCTTGGTACACTTTTAATGACTATGTTAATTTTTGCTAAAGCGATATCACATGTCTCTCTGTTGTTATCTCATATATTTATAAACTCAATTAGTTTGCACGTGATTATACTTTTGAAATTGTCAATAGATTAATGTCACATGATTAGTGTATAAAAACTAAATATTTTCATTGTAAAAAGGTAAGGAGAGATTTTGTGTTCTTCCTTTTATTTAATCAAATTTCAGTAACCAAAGTGTAGCTGAAGTAATCTACTTACTGCAAATTCTCCATTACTGTTATGTGTTCGTCTGAGGTTCCAGGAGGTGTATCAATAATTAGATAATCGATGTCTTGCCATGCCACATCAGTTAAAAACTGTCTAATCATACTTGTTTTCTTAGGACCTCTCCAAACTACGCTATCATTTCTGTTCTTTAATAAAAATCCTATTGACATGACAGCTAGTTTTTGATCATTGTCTGTATAAACTGGAACCCATCTGTAAACCAAAACGATTGCCATTAGAAATATATTCACTAATACTGTCAATTCAATTTTATAAAATAAGTTAATATTTTTGTACCCTTCATCTGATTGATGAACATCTTTATCTTCCAAGTTTAGCAAGTATGGAATACTTGGGCCACATAAATCAATATCTAATAAACCAACCTATGAAAATTAATTAATAAATGTATCAACGTAAAATTTTTTGGTTTATATAAATAATACACTCTTTTTTTCTTTAAATGCAGTCTGAAATTCCGAGTATAGAAAATCTAAACTGCACAATATGTAATAGACAATAACAGGAAATTGCAATAATATAGTAACCTGATACATGATTTGGAAATTATTATTAATTTTAGTAGACTTACCCTAAAACCGGCTTCTTTGAGTGCGAGGGCCAGTTGAGAACTGACAGTGGATTTGCCCACGCCACCCTTGCCGGAGAGTACCAAATAAATGTGCTTTACACCGTCGAGCATTTTGGACGTTAGTTATATGAATTGTCAATCGTTGCAAATTTGCAGACTGATATTTTACCAGTTCGCATGCGTACGGTACAGTTTTGCACTAATTTCGTATTCGTTTCTTATGTCGATATCGTTCAGCGACTACGATTTCGACAGCACAATATATAATAAGCTCATGCGAGTTGTCAAGTCACTTTGCCGTCACTCAGTGAACAGCTGACGTACCGACACTCTCTCACACTTACATATATACGCAAACTGGTAGCTCAAAGCATCGTAAAAGATGTGCATGTACGGGAAAATACTTTTGCGACTTATTTTGATCGCTTGCTGTTACTAAATAACTACTTGTCTCGATTATGTTTTACTCATTTTAGAAATCATCTCTTATCTTAGGTAAGTCTATTTCGATAAGATTGTTTCTCTAACGTTTCATAAGCTTGCAGAGGTTATTATAGAATTTGTTTACATTATATTCAGCTTATAGTTCAGCTTTTATAAATTAAAAAACACTTAAATTATTCATTTTAAAAATTTAAAAGCCTTTTTTGAAAGAAGTATGAAATAATTTTTTTTAAAAATCTCAGTTTGTAATGGTATGAATTAAATTTTAATTGAATGTCTTACTTTATTTTAGATAAAAAAGCTGCCAAAAAAACTTATAAAAAATGAGGAGAAGAGCAGGAGTGGGTGCCATTCAAAAACAAAAATATGAACAAGAACGGTACAAAGACAAAGGGACAGAAATTCAAGAAAATCAATTTGAGCAGATGACTAAGCAGTTGGAAGTGTTCCGCATAAATTTGGAAGAATTTGCATTAAAGCACAAAAGTGAAATAAAGAAGAACGCACAATTCAGAAAACAATTTACAGAAATGTGTGCATCCATAGGGGTAGATCCTTTAGCTTCTGGAAAAGGTTTTTGGTCAGTTTTAGGTATTGGAGATTTTTACTACGAATTAGCAGTTCAAATTGTTGAAGTGTGCCTTGCTACAAATTACAAAAATGGCGGTTTAATATCACTTGATGAACTAAGAGATAGATTAGTTCAGGCAAGAGGAAGCAGAAAAGAACATCAAGAAATAACTAATGAAGATCTATTAGCTTCTGCCAAGAAACTCAAAATTCTAGGAAATGGATTTACCATTGTACCCATAAGCAAAGGTAAATATTTGGTGCAGTCTGTTCCTGGAGAATTGAGCATGGATCATACAGCTGTTTTGCAACAAACAAGTAATAATGGAAATGCATTCATTTCTAAATCGCTATTACAAAAGGAATTAAAATGGGAACCAGAACGTGCTGTAAAAGCACTGGATCATATGGTCAAAGAGGGTTTGGCATGGATTGATGAACAAGGAGGAGAAGAACCTCTTTATTGGTTTCCTAGTTTGTTTACTGCTTGTATTGCTTCAAAAACATAACATTAAATTTTATCTTTTTTTATTTTATTATCTTGTGAAAAATTTTATATATATATTTTTCTAAATAATTTATATCAGCTTGTTCTATAGTGTATAATTTGATCAAATAATGGTAGATATTTAACACTTAAAAAATGTTTTAAAATGTATATAAGCATTATTAAATAAATTATCGTTTGCAAAAAACTTAATTGCATCTTAAAATTGTCATTTAAATCTATTCATTACAGGGAAAATATTTTGATAAAACATTACAATAATTTTAGGTATCCCTTTGTGAATTCGAAAAAAAAAATTTTATTAAAAATGTATTTAGTAGTCTATATTAATATTTGGAACATTAAAAACAAGCGAAACTACTTTGTGTTAATCTTTTTTTTTGACGGTACCGATTGAAATAGAAAGTTTAAATGTCGCGCAAAAATCGATTTCGTATAGGTATGTGCTGATCATTTAGAAACAGGTCTTCCCCCTCTTGCAAATTTAAAAGAGAGAGTCTGCTAAATCACCGTTTCTTAGGCCTAATCTTGAAAAAATACACATGGTGCTCGAACAGTTCACGGAACAGCAACGTTAAGAGTCAGCGCGAATACTTTGGGTTTGCACTGATAAACCAATAAAATAACTAAGAAAGTAAAATACGCTCGAAAAGGTTGGTCGTCAATTGTCGAGTTTCGTTTGTACTAAAGATTACGATTAAACTGCAAATAACAAAATGAAGCTGGATTTGAAAGAAATAGCGGCGAAACTGTACGATATTGGAGCTATAAAAAATGGTAGTTTTACAACGAAAGCTGGTCACAATACTTCGGTTTACATAGATCTAAGATCTATGATATCTTATCCAGAATTATTGGTGAGCAACTCTTGAATGTTATTATTATTATCAATATTATTGAAACACAATAAGAATGAATATAGCTTATAAATTACCAATATCTGTGGTGATTTTTCACGTCACGATTTCTACTGAAATAAATATTCATAAAACAGCATTATTAAAAAAAAACCAAAAGTGAAAAACCAAGCAATATTTGCCTTTTTTTGATAAGCCGATTTATTATCAGATACTTAATATGAAATATGGGAATTTAATCTGATTTTTAAAGAAATTTTTATCATATTATTACTTAATACATGGGTAGCTACTTTTAATTAATCCTTTATGTAATTGACAAAATCTGAATAACAAGTCAATCAATTGATTGATGTAAAATTATGAAAATCGATCTGGTCATATGGCTTTTGAATTGAAAAGGTCTTATAGAAACAGTTCGCAAAAAAATAATATTTTCTAGTACTTGAATTAAATGACAATTTAAAGAAATAATAATTTTACAGTCCAATGTATCGAAGATGCTTTGGGGACTTGCCGATAGTCAAGAGTTCGTACAGGTCGTTGGTGTACCCTACACTGCATTGCCAATCGCTACAGTAATATCCACACACTATAACGTGCCCATGCTGATCAGAAGAAAAGAAACCAAGTCATACGGCACCAAAAAAATGATCGAAGGGGTTTACAAAAAAGGAGACGCGCCAATTCTCGTAGACGATATTTTAATGAGCGGTTCTAGTATCTTTGAAACGGTCGAAGATTTGAAAAAAGAAGGTCTCAATGTCACTACAGCCCTAGTCGTAGTTGACCGTGAGCAAGGAGCCAAAGAAGCTCTGGAATTGTTGGGCATCAAATGCAAAAGTCTCTTTACTATTACGAGCCTGTTTAATTTATTACATGAAGCTGGACGGCTTGATAGAGAAACGGTAGATAATGCTATAAGTTCCGTTTTGAGCGTTTCAGTCCCCTGAATTTCAAGCAATCGGTTAATTTACGTTTAACTCAGACTTTTGCGACTCGATCAGAAGCTTGTAAAAATCGAGTAGCTGCAAAATTGTTCAATCTCATGGAACAAAAACAAACAACATTGTGTTTGGCAGCCGATTTCATAAAATCTCAGGAAATTCTAGATATCGCGCAATTAGCTGGCCCTCACATTGCCGTCTTGAAACTACACGTAGATTCCTTAGTGGATTTCAATAAAGATTTCGTACAAAATTTGACAAACTTGGCTGAGACCCATAATTTTATGATTATGGAGGACAGAAAATTTGGCGATAGTGGCTACATTGTTGCTCGACAATACAGCAGTGGTATTTACTCTATAGCAGAATGGGCTGATTTAGTTACTGTACATGCTGTTCCTGGAAAATCAATAATTACCAGCATTAAAAGAGGCCTTGAGAGTTGCTCTAAGGATAGAGGAATATTTGTTGTAGCTCAGATGACATGTTTTGGATCTTTAACATCTGCAGATTACATTGAAAAGGCAGTGACAGAAGTTGCAGACTCCGAGTTAGTGGCTGGAGTTATGTGTCAAAACAATTGTATTGAAAGTCCCGGACTTATTCAGCTTACTTCTGGTGTCAAACTTGTAGATAAAGCTGATGATTTGGAAAAACCATATAAAACTCCAAATGATATTGTTAGTGAAGGAGCAGATTTAGTAGTTGTAGGCAGAGAAATCATTTGGTCTGAAGATCAGTTATCTACGATTTTAAAGCACAAAAAAGCTTTATGGGAAGCTTATGAGCATAGAGTTAATTACTGACCGCCAAATATATATGAATGTGACATATTTACTTAATATAAAAAGTATACTTCTTTGTATCTTTTATTAATGCTAAAAACACATTAGATTAATAGTTTTTACACAAATGACATTTAACTTTTTATTATCATTATAATCAAAATATTGAAACTGGAGTTATGTAAAAAGTAGAAAACTATTTATTTTTTGACTGTACAATATTAAAATAATAAAAAAAGACACAATATTTACCTAACAAACACTTTTGACTAGAAGTTAGTGAATTTTATTTACTTCAGGTTTATTTACATTTGCCTGTTGTCAACTTGATTCAATATTCTGCTCATAATTCTGAATGAAGTGTGTATTACATCGAGCCATAAGTTGCTGATAGAATAATAATTCTCTAGACAAGTCTTCATTACGTTTTTGTAAATCACTTATTTTATTTTTAAGCTCTTGTGTCTTTTTTTGAAATTTTGAAGTAATCAAATTAGCCTCTTCTTTCCACCTAAAATATTAGAAAGAAATATAGAAAATAAGAAAAAATGCATAAAAATTGAAATGAATAGGAAATTGATAAAAATATGGCTTCAATTATAACTTACTTGTTGCTGAGTTTTTGATGTGTTTCAACATGTTGTGTTAGCTTCTTGGTCTTCTTTTCAAATTTTTCTTGTAATGCTAAAATGTTTGAGATAGAATCAAAATTCATTGACCTGTAGATAGATAAATTCAGTCAAGTTTAGAATCAGTTCATATTATTCTGAGCACAAAAAGTTTTTAATTTTCTTACGTTTGTTGTCCAATGTGATTAACGTCATGAACATTTGGTAGTGTTTTTGAGAAAAATTCGTTAGGGTTTACTTTGGTAATTTTGTTCTGCATATCACGAACTTTATTTTCCAAAATTAATTTTTCACCATTCCTTTTCTGAATTTCTTTTTCCAAAGATGTTTCTAGTTCATGAATGTTAGAGACTAAACTTTCTTTATCCATGAGTGCTCTGGTCAATTGTCTTTCAAAATTGGAACATTTTTCCAAAATTTCTCTAGTTCGATTATCAGCTTCTCTTACACGATCTTCTACATCACGAGAGTTCTGGAATTGTACTCGTCTCAACTTTTCAGTTGTATTCAGTAATTTGTCCTGCAATTGACTAATTTGATTTTCTAAATATGAAATTCTATCATCATATTGAGTATTGTGAGTATCTTTAACATTCGAGAACATATCATTTCTCTGTGAATTAGACATTTTTTGACCATATTTTTCATGATCATCACTAGAACATCGCCTTACTTTCTCAAGTTCACTTCCCATTAATTGATTTTCACGCTGCAACCCATCCAACAAAATTAATTTTTCTTTTAATTCAGATTTTAATTCCTTAATTTCTAGTAAATACTTTTTTACATTTCTATGATACATTTCTTTGAGTTTGAAAATTTCATGCTCTAATCTAACAGCATAATCTTCAGATAATTTTGACAATAGTATTTGAAGTTGGTTTTTTTCTTCTACTACCATTGCTTCTCTTTTCAAAATATCTTCTTTCTCTTTGGTTATAGCTTCAACCAATTCAACAGCTTCTGAGACCTTTTTCTGAGCTGCTTCATCTTTGGAATTCAAAGAATTTATGAGTTGTTGAGCATTTTGCAATTTTGTTTCTAACACAGTGTTGCTTTTTTGCAATGCTTCAATTTGTTCACAAGATTGCTTAAGATTATTTTGTAAATGGCTCTCAGTACTTTGGTATTCCTTTTCTTTTTGAATAAATTGTTGTTGTAGAGTATTTAGTTGCTGCGCAATATCATTTTTTTCTTTTGATAAAATATCAATTTCATCTTTACTTTTAGCCCATTGTGCTTGCTGTTCAAAGAAATTTTCTTTACCAGCTATCAATTTAGATTCTAAAACGTTGATAGCCTCTGAATAGCTTTCTTTGAGACTATTAATGTGGTGCTGATAAAACATTGCATTTTTATCCATTTTGTGTACACTTTTTAGCTCTTCCTCCAAAATATCAATGGATTTTAACGCCATTTGCCACAGCTGATAGACAGAATCTTTTTCCATCTGCAAAACTGTTATTCTCTTCTCAAGATTCATCAACATTTCTCTACTTCTATCATCGCTATGCAGATAATTATCTTGACGATTATAGTCTGCTGAAGAGCGTTGAAGGGAATCACCATCATTGTGGTTCCTTTGTCTGAGTGCTTCTACTTCCACATATAGTTTGCTCTGTTCAAGCTGAAATAAAACGTACAGATAAATAGCAAGCTGATATTAAAAAGTCCTCCTTCCAATAATTACCTTGCAGTTGATCAAATCTTCTTTCAGACTTGACACGACGATTTCGTATTCATTAGAGATAGAGTTGTCATCTTTTAAACTGCTTTAAAGAAAACAACATATTGATTATAATAAAGGCGAGCAGATTAATAATTATAACCTAGTGCATGAGTTCTCACTTGTGTCGAATCCTGTCAAGTTCCCTCTCGACGTGTTCATTACTCATTGTGTATTTTTATAAAATTCGTAAACACTGTACAACAATTGAAGAAAGATCAATGCGCATGGTGGGTAAGTAATTTTTCATCCGTGCCGATAATCATGATTAGATGGGCTTAAAAAAACACAAAAGAGCAGTGACAATCTGTCATCACAAACGCTGTTGTCAAGGTGCATGTTTGTTTTGATTCAATCTCGTGGCGTCGTCTCCCGCGAACTTTCGATTTGAATTGCGCGAACGGAGTTATGTCACGTGATCGAAGTGCTCTCGTCTGCTAAAGTATTGGCGCGAAATTTGGACAAGTGAATAAAATAATTTTGAAAACATTTTCTTGGACATGGGCATTTTTTTATTGAATTTTTTAAATAAATTTGATAAGAAATGAGACAGTAGCTTCATCGAGTGCTTGTATTGAATTGAGCATAGAAATCCGGGGTGAGTTTGTCCTTGTATACGTGACGATTGAGATACTCTTGTTTGGATTTCTGCTCCTGGGCCAGTTTCAAATTTTCCTCGGCGATTTTTTTGTTCAGTTCGCTAAAAATCATTGCAGGTTAAATTTTCCGCGTGAAAGCAAGTGCGTAAAAGAAGATGAAAAGAAAAAAGAAAGGAAAAAAAAACGAAGAAGAAGAAAAGATAAAGAATTACGCTCGTTTGCGATCCAAGTCGCGCTGATACGATTCGGCCGTCCTCGCGTTGCTGTTCATCAATCGATTCCATTCTTCGTTTTTGACGTTTTCTTCTTGCCTCATGAGCTTGAAAAACAAGGGAATAAAACAGTGACTCGGATGCGGGTTATATCAGTTCTCGCGCGCATTGATTTATACATTATTATGTTGCGTATAAGTACGTAAGTAACGCGTGGTGCTATATAAGAGCTGCGGATGCGATTCGTCGAATCGGTTCAACGCCGTGCACGCGTGTGTGTGTGCGTTTATATTATATATGTAAATATTCCATGGAACCTTGACCGCATGAGAAATTTTTCCATCGAGTGCGTGTGTAAATTACATGTACATATATACGCGAACGAGAGGCAAAGGCAGAGAGAGAGGAAAGAGAGGCATCGCAGGCCGCTGCTGCGAAAAGGGAGAGTAAGTGTGTATGTGTGCGCGCGAAGCAACGAAGCGTTACGCGAGTAAGTGTGCGCCTGTGTATGTTTGTGTATAAAAACCTGTATCTGCTGCATCTGTCGAGCCTGCTCGTCTCGGAAGACTTTGATTTCGGCGGCGCTCATACCTTTGTAGCGGCTGGCTATGGGCTTACCGGGGCCTCGGGTGCTGATCGCCTGCTCCGGAGCCTCGGTAAGGAAGTCGCCGGTCACGTGGTTGTAGATCTCGGCGCGGGCGTCCTCCAAGTCCTGCGCGGCTCTGCATCGTTTGCGCGCCTCCTGCTCGTCGGCCTGTCGTTGCGAGTAGACTCGGATTCTTCACTGTCCTTTTTTGTCGTTATTTTTTTTTATCGAGCCAAAGTATACGAACCAGAGCTTTGTTGAAACTAGCCGTGGCTTGGCTGAGTCTGCGGCGACACTCGCGCTCCATGTGGTCGAGCTCGAGGGCTCGTCGGTCACGAGCCAGGGTGACCTCCTGGTAGGATCGCTCGGCCTCTTGCATCTCGTGCTCGGCCAATCTGCGCTCGCGCACTTGCTGAACGATCCAACTTTGCATTTGCTCTTTCTGCTCGCGACGACGATTCTCCAGATTCGTATCTTCGCCCTCGAATCTGAGACGACAAGTTCAATCTATTACTACTGAAATACACTCGATACACGAGCTAGAATAAAATAACGAGTACTTTTGAGCCGAAGCTAGGCCGAGATTGTCATCGTTGTCGGGATGCCGTGGGGGTTTTGACCTCTTCAACAAGTTCGGGTCGTAGAGATCGAAATCTCGACGCAACTGGGGCTTCTGGTACTCCTGGCGAAACGCGTTGATCTCCTTGTTGAGTTTTCGCCTCTCCTGCAACAAAACGAGATTCGAGGCATTTCGAGAATCGGCCGTAAAACTAATTTGTCAGGTTTTGTCGAACGGGACCCATACCTCGTCTTGCTGCCTCTGAAGCAGAATGGCTAGTTGGCTGTTGCGAACGAGAGCCTGGTCCAAACGACATTCTTGCTCCTTTTCAAGGTCCTGCAGTCGTTTTCTCTCTTCGACTTGCTTATCGAGAAACTCCTTGTCTACCTACGAATCGATTCTTTAGCCAATGCTGCTTTTTTCCACCTTCTTTTTCGATAAGGACGATAAGCGATGCCCCTGAGTTTTTACTTACTCCAATTTTCCGAATCCTCGGATTGAAGATTCGCTTCTTACGAGCCTCCTCGATCTGTCTGCGATGCTCGATCGCCGCAGCAACCTTCAGATCTTGCTGGACCGCTCGTTTTTGAAAATCCAGCATTTTTCGCGATCTCGTTCGTGCCGGTCTGCTGCATTCGAGAGCGAATGTAAATAAACAAGATATTAGCGCGTTGCGAAAATTTTTAGCCGCTTCGATTGCACATAACCCTCGACGTGTAACAAACGTTGATGTCAAACAGCCCCTGGGGCAAGTCGCAATTTGTTGCCATGGATCGTTTGGACTAATAGGCGCTGCGCCATGGGCGTGGGGGCTAATTGCTAATCGCTCTCTTCCCAATTTTCACCCTCCCAATATTGCCATTAAGCGCATTAAAATAATAAAAATTCATTCCATTAGCATCATAAAAATATTAATGTCAATAATATAGTAGTTACATAAAAATACAACAAACTGTCTTTTTCAATTATTATTAAATCAGAAATTGATATGTATTAAATTTAAATTTGATAAGAGGTAATTGGAAATTAAGAAAGAATCAAGCATATGCTATCTCAGATAATGGGGTTTTTACTGGTATATGACCTTATCCCTGTTACTGTTAATCTTTTTCTTACGGACGATAATAATTTTTCTTTTAATTATAAGAACAAGTTGAAACTTGTTTTAAACGTATAGGTAAGTAAGTGCCAGGAAAATCCAAATTTTTCAATTTTCTTTTGATTTTTAAAAATCAATACAAAAAATTTTCAGAATTTTGGGGTTTGCGCGTCATTACGAATAGTCCCAGTAGCTTTAATGAAGCTACAAAGTCATCATTTTTATTTTAAGATCTTACAATGTTATTGAAAATCGATGAGTCTTTAATGATTATTTTTAAATGGGTTCGAAAAATATTGTTCTATTTCTTGAGAACGTTGAACTTTCAAGAACAAGAGTTAATTTTGTATTTTTGTTTTTCGACATTCGATGTGCATCCAAGTCCCATCTTACTACACTGAGCTTGAAAATCTATCGATGCAAGATTTGAATCTTAACTAAACACATTTTTTGATTTTGCATGCGAATTCTGAACCTAAATTGATAAATCCCGAAGGTCTGATTAATCAATTCAATGTACGATAAAAAGTGCTGAATATTTTATTCGATCTTTCCTTTTCTTTTTTCTTATCTATGTTTCTGGTGACTTTAAAGAGTCCTGGATCTAGTTGACGCTGCAGTCAGCGTCGTCACTAAACTGATCGATAAGATTGGCGAAGACTTGTGCAATAAAATAATTGTTGCATTCGGTCGTACCTTAGAAAAAAAATGTGTTCAGAGATCATTCTGATCGGATCGCAATCACAAGTATGAGAATGTCAAGTTCAAAAATGTGGGTAATTCCGTGGGTTTTTGTTTGTGTGTTTATTTATCTTGGTCATTTAATCAGTAAGATTTATGTTTTTGTCAGAAGAACAAAATACTGTATAGAGCTTTGATCTGTCCTTATCGTACGATATCTTTAGCTACTTAATTTTTCACATACCTGGTCACTTTCTGATTATTTATTTTAAATGTAGTTGTTTAAGAAGTGTCACGAAGAACGTGATATTGTTGTTTGGCATCGCATCATTAAATTGTACAAAAGTGCCTACAGAGATTCGTTCGCAACTTATTATTTGAAATGAAACTGTCTTTGACTTTAATTGACACATGCGTGGAAATCGAAGCATTGGCTATTGTCAAGATTTTCTATTGAAGTTGCGATAGAAAGAAAAAAAGCTACAGAAGTTAGGCGCGATGTCGAGATGAAAAAACTCGTCAAACGCTCTCGAGTCAAATAGGCTTTCATTGGAAAAAATTGAAGTGCGTCTTACATAAGGCGCGATAATCAAACGTCAGTTTACAAGCGAATCGCCCGAGTTGCCTCGTGATATCGAATCGCTCATAGACCCAATACATCGGCCCATGGAAGGAGTTGCAATGGCTCGAGCACTTGCATCTCGGAGGCCGAAATCACGCGTACTCGGTGCAGTGCAGAGCATGTGCCTGCGAAGGGAAAAGTGTAAGTGTATTACGAGCGAGGCCGGGCAGGGGAGGGGGCGGTATGTAGTTCTGGAAGGTACTCGCGCGTCGCAGAGAGGTCGCCCCGCGTCACTGACGTCACTGGCGAACTCCCTTCGAAACGAAAAACTGGGTGTCTAGCGCAAATTCGTATACTTGCATATATAGTGCAGCACACAGAGCAAATGGTGCGCGTGCGAAATTGCATATATATACGTACGCGTGTGCTGCACTATAGCAGCAGCGCTTATACCACCACCTCGGAAGCTCGGCGCGTCTCTCTTTCTCTCTCTCTCACTCCGAGACTCGGGCAGCAGTGCATGCTGCACGATACAAGCGCGAGCTATGCCCGAAAGAGAGAGAGAGAGAGCGAGGCAAACCGCAGTTTTGCACACACAGGCAACGCAGCAGCTGTCGTCATCGTCGTCGCGCTAGACACTCAGTCTCGGTTCTGCTCTCAGCCAGTTCGCATCGATTTTTATGCCTCTCGCACTATATACATACAAAGACGTACATAGCCGCCCGCCCGCCAGCCACAAGCGAGTCTCGCGCAGCGTATAGCAGCTCCTCGCCTTCTTTATACGCACGCGCGTGGCTGCTAAAGCGAATTTGCAGTTTGCACAGCAGCAGCATAGCACGCACACACTGTAGCCACTCTAACATATACAGACACACAGATAGAGCACACACGGAGCCAAGCTGGCAGACTCTTCACTCTCCTCGCAGCTTTTTCGCGCATTACATGTACTTCGGAGCAGTGGCCATACAGCAGCAACGGAATAGTGCTCCGCAGCACGCCAGAGCCAACGCCAGTCAGCAGCAGCAGCGACGCTTTCTCGCTTTTATCGTTGTTTTGACTCCTCGCTGTTTACAGAACAGCAGTGCGCTTACACCGTGAGCTGCAGAAAGGGCAGTGCGCGAGCGAACGAAAGAAAGAGACAGACGGACGAACCGAGCGGACTAGCCGCTTGCGTAAACACAGTGACGTATTAAAATATAAAAATATTAAAAAAAAATCTTGCTAAATGTTTAGCAGGCTCCGTAATTAATATATTTAAGCAGTGATCGTATCGTATTGTATTGTAAATATAATATATCGTAACATAACATATCGTTCTCTGTGTGCGTCGGTGTTTGTTGTTTTCGTCGTTACATGTGCTTGATAAAAGGGGGTGCGCGTCCACTAAACGAACAGACAGTACACAAACGTTATCGACAAGTGAATCCGTAAAGTTTTCGGGAAGCGTCAGTGAGTAATGAGCTCGGCGCATCATCCACAAGTATGAGCTGTAGCGTCAAGCAGATCACCAGTGCAGCGGCCAAGAGCTGGAGCAGCAGCAACGGCAGCGCTAACCCGAGTCAAAGTACCTCTCAGGGAGGCAACAGCGGCAGCGCTTCTACTCAGCAGACTCCGAATCGTCGGATCAATTCCCTTGCCGAAGAGGTCGTTGTCACGATCCCTGGCAACGGCGGCAGCAATGCTTCGCCTCAGCAGCAGCAGCAACAGCCGCAGCAATTAATCGTCGCCGCGAGCGCAGCAGCAGCAGCAGCGGCGGCAGCGGCAGTGGCTAACAATGCAGCAACGCAAAGTCAAATTCAGCAGCGCACCAACAGACTGGCCTTAGCCAAGAAGGGCGAGGACACGGCCAAATTGCTAAGATACATCGACGACAACGTCGTCGGCAAGAATGGCACCTTTCTCGGGCCCTTTGGACGTCGCAAAGGTAAGCGATTCGCGCATTCATTATTATGTACGTAGACTTTTGTTCGCTGCCGTGTGCCTCTCTTGCGGCCAATGCTGCTGCAGGTGATCATTGATCGGTCAATGTCGCCGCGACGACGATAAAATACCTGAGCATTGCTCCCTCGGTTTCTGATTTATTGCCTCTCGCACGCTCGACGGATCATTTTTATTTCCTTGCGCATTTTTTCATGCTCCAAGCCTATGAACCCGCATGTCACATATTTATAGATATTATTATGTACACAAAACACAACGATTAATTTACCACATCTGCGAAGCGAGAGATTTCCTGAGCGATTCAGCTCCAAGTAAACGTTGCAGAAGCCATTGGCCCGAACATTATTTTTCTCTCGCTCTTTGTGCATTGACAAACGTCGAGTTGCAAAAGATCCGCCGTCGTCGTCGTCAACTTTACTCGACTGCGATCTCACGCATGTTAGCCAGTCCATTGTGTACACGACTGCAATTTGCATCTCCAACGAGAATATACAATTATACATTCGATGCTTTTACCGATGTGCGCCACTTGCCTATTTTTTTTCTTTTCTTTTACTTCTTTTTTTCATGGAACACAAAAAATGAATCGTCTTCGGCGCAGGGCCGGGCAAAGAGCCAAAGAGTAAAAAAAAAAAAAAAAATAATATCGACCCACGAAGAGATATCGGCACTGTTTTTTTTCTCGTGCGCCGCTTCACTTGCAAAAAATGCGAGCGAAAAACAAGACCGACAGATAGACAGACGTGTGTAGGTGTAAGGAAGAATGAGTTGGGAAGAGCAGCAGGTCAAACGACGAGATCGTTGACCCTCCATAACGGGACGTTACAAATTATAGTCTTTGTCAATGTTTCGGCTTTTCTCTAGGCGTCTCTTTTTCGCGAATATAGGCCCGACTCGCGCGACTACTGCTTGCCTTCTAGCGCCCGAGGTAACGCGTGTGGCGTGTGCTCCACATACGCGACGCGCCGCATTATATATACAGAGAGAGCGTCGTCCTATTGTAGGAAAGTTGCTGGCGTGTGTGCAGCTTGCATGTGGCTCGTGCAACGCCAGTCGACTGGCTCGTTCCTCGGGGTGCATGAACTGCACATTAATCGGCCTCTTCGCCTCTTCTCTCTCTCTCTTTCTCATTCGAAAATATTGCCCTATTGCACGATATCAATTGCATGTACAGACTCGTTTATAAGCAGTGCTGCCTGTCGCGCTGCATACACTGCTTTCGCTGCAGCTCTCGATAAAAATATCCCATGTTGCGCTCGACAACGGCACATGCCCATTATATGCTCGCGAGTGCGCGACATTTTCGAGCTTTACAAAGGCTCGCGAGTGCGCCGCGCGAGTATTTATAGCGACTCGATGAAAAAAAGCTCTTTATATCCAATGGCCGACTATATAAAGAGCCGCGAGGGATCGATTGAATCTCGCTCTGTGCAGTTCCGAAGGGTGTGTACTTGGCCGCACAATAACATAAGCCCGCAGCTTTTTCTTCGATTTGGCTCAACGAACTCGTTATCGTGAGCGGATGATATAAGTTTAGGCTGAAAATGCAACGCGAGAGAGAAGTTTGCCCACGCGCTCGTACACATGCTCGTTGCTCATGCACAAGATCTTGCAAGCTTAAACATATAATTTGCGCGAAATCTCCGTACGCTTATCGGCCTGATCTAGAGCTCCGTCAAAGTAACCCAAGTTTCGCGAAGCGCGAAAATAGACGACGAATGTTCTTTGTCCAAAAAAGTCGCGACTTTTACCGAGGATGTGATGCTCGCGACCCTACCGACAATATATCTGTAGATAAGTCTTGGATTTTGGAGCGCGTATCGATTTATGCGCCCACGCAAGTCACACGGGAAGTTTGCCAGGCCGCGCGCGACGCAAAGTACACCGCACGCTTACATATATAACGTCCACATCACCGAATATAAAGTCTTTTGTCGCTGCTGCTGCTGCTGCTGATGTCGTCTATACTTGTGCGATGATCATGAGCAACCGAATACGCGCGGGAGAAGAGTTACGTTGATAAGTCCACGCTCGCAAGCTGACTAATGCTCTGTTTGAGGATGATAATATTCAATTAGTTGTTTATGACACACATTCAATAACGATACTTACGTACGTATCGGTTTGTGCTATAGCTAGCTTCTTTCTCACTCTCTCTCTTTTTTCTCCCTGTATCGCGCGTCATTGATAGATTAATCGTTTCTTGACTTTTTTTCTCTCGCGCTTTTCTCTCTCTTTCTCTCTCTCTCTCTCTCTCTCTCGGCTGGTACACAACTGATAATTTCACGATAAAGCGTCTGTTGCAAATCACGCGACGGCCGATTGTTCGTAACGCAACACGCACGATTTTTGATTTTCTTCGCCGAGAAATTGTGAAAATGAACGTTGAGCGCGAGCATCGATGTATGCGTGAACTATATTGCCAACATTGTTGCGTCGCGATACTTTTATTTTCCTTTTCTTTTTTTTTTTTTTTTTTTTGTTTTCAACTCGACTGAGCATCGTGCAGCTGTTGTGCTGTTTTTCGAGGCTGATTATTATGTACTTTTTTGTCATTAACTTTTTAACGAGTGCACCGATAGCCGCGTAACGCACACAGACGCGCGCGCGCACACATGACAATGCTATTTGCGTTCTAGAATTTCTTCTTATCGGGCACGAATTTTCAACACATTGTTGGTTCGGAGAGAAAAAATAAAAAAAAACTTATAATGCACTCTGGAAAGTAAATATTTTCTGCGTTTAATAGCAACGCTCCATATATTTACACCTACTTTATATTTGACAATATTACGTAATAGACGATTGGAAAGTTGGCTGCATCTCTTCCAGGGGTGTGTTGCGCGCTTGCGAGCCACGAGAAATTGTTTACGCTCTCTTTTTTTACAACTCGGTTATTTGCTCTTCGATAACGGCGGAGAGCTCGACGGAGAGAAAAAAAAGTTGCAGCTGATAGCGCGCGAAAAGTAGAACCCGATTTTCAGAGCGCGAGGACACGATCATCGCGTCGGACGAGCTTCGATAAAATTCATTCTGCCTTGTGTTTTTCTTGCAAAATGTACGTACACTTTTTCGACAAATATAGCATCGATTTCAAAACAGTACAAAGATCCAAAAGATTTGAGTTTATAAATAAAAAAAGATAACTGGCAAGTAATCAATCTATGGGATGAAGTGCATCTGCGAAATTCGTTATCGATCGCGAGCCGTGACTCTCTTTTGCCGACGCTTCCTGGTTTACACGCGATACGGCGCCCACTTAACTCAGTTTGATCGGTGAAATCAAGCTAATCGCTGCCGCTGCTCTGCTAAGACTGTTGAATTACGCGTCCGACTGAATTATCGAGCTTTATATTGATCGAAGATACGATCGATGCGAGCTGCGAGGGCTTACAAGAGCCGCGCGCCTGAAAAATTAGAGTCTCAGTTTCGGAAGCGATTAAGCCAAGTTTTCTGGGTCAGTCGAGGGGAAAAAATACGTTTGCCTATTCGTTACTTATTCAGCAAATCACTGCGCTAATTTTTCGGCCTCTATTAGGCATCGCTCGCGACGCGTCTCTTTTTGTCGACGCGCACGTACGAAGCAAAATTACAAAGCGACGATCTCGCGTCTATTAAAGCAAAGATCGGTAAAAGACGTTAATTACATCGTTCGAGCGCGCGTCAGTAAGTCTTTCGAACAAGTTCTGTCTCTGCGGCTGTGCACGTCTAAGTTTAGCCGCTGAGAAAACGCATCGATCATTCGCACGTATGTATGCGCGACAATGTAGCAGCTGTCAGTATATAGTACAGTATAAGTACGGTCGAGCCGCACACGCATGTACTTATCACGTGTGCAATATGCTCTGCACTCGAGAGTTGCATAATTTAATAAATGGCTAGTAGCGATGCATCTGGTGTAGAAAAAACGTCTCTCTCTCTCTCTCTCTCTCTGCCGAGCTGCTACGATTGAATTAGGCGTGACATACACAGACAGACAGACAGCAAGTGGCAGCAGTTTCTGCGCGCTTCGTTTTCCTCGTTGCGCAAAAAAAGCTTTGTATACGAAAAAGGAGAGGAAGGGGGGCCGACGACGCGCGAACACGCACGCTCGTATACACGTACGTTATTGCTGATATACAGACGTGCACAGCATCTTATCTGCTGCTCAACGTGCCGACTGAAAAATAATAATACTTTACGACGACGACGACGACGACGCTGGCGGTGGCGGCGGCAAGGAGAAAAGAGAATGGCTGCTCTCGAGTGCATTTTAGTACATGTCTATATCTATACGGGTTGTGTGCGTTGCAAGTGTAATTTATCAGCGCGACGTAAAAGTGATGGCGTTTATAACGTTGGCCGAAGCGGGCTTAGAGGCTGCTGTGTGCATTTGAGATTTTCTCGATTCGCAGGACTCGCCGTGGCCGCCGCCAAAGTCGCTTTCTCTTTGGGCCATATATCTATTAAGAGGTCGTCGATGAATGAACGCCGGCGAATCGTTGCATTAGGCCGCAGCAGCAGCAGCATAATCGCGGAACCATTTGGCTACACAACGATAGCGCGGACTCTTCTTCCTTCTAGCGAGCTGTCGATCGGCCGACGTTGTTTCGCGATCTGTATAAATATGTTTTGCCGCCGTGCACAACATTGTTACACAATTGCGTGCTGTGCACCTCGTGCTCTCGTGTACATGGCGAGGGCAGCTCGATCGAAACTTTGAACTCGCTTTATCGACGCGTATAACAATAATATCGCGTAGCATAATTATACACGTCGCGGCGAGGCAGCCGAGCCGTTTATAATAACGCAATGTGCAAATAAGATTAAAATAATATCGCCTCGGCAGCAGCGAGTCGTTTCAAAAGTTTGACATGCGCTTGCGGCTCGAGCTCATTAATCCAGTGAACGCATAAATACATGCGCACATGTATTTTATATACATGTATAATGCAGGGCGATAATGTGTGGCAGCTCGTTGTGCAAACACATAATATACAAACG